TGAAATATTATTACCGACGTACTCAATCTTGTGATTCCAAAGTTGTTCGATTTATGATTAAAAGATATCATTGCATTTATACATTTATATGTAGTTACTAGTTGCACTTGATCATAAAAATCGCTGCACTGATCACATGAATTACCATTATTTGATTATAATTTGTACCTCATGTTGTCAAAAAAGATACTGTCATTGAGTAATGCATTTGCGTTAGATTAATTAAAAATACTTAGTATAATTGCTCAGCTCAATTTTTATGTATAATCTGCTGTGTTAAAATGACATGCAATCACGCACATTAATATCGTTCAATATTGTTTAGGTGTAAAAAATTTAATGTCTTGTTAGAATCGATTAGTGAATTCGATTATATTTTAGCAAAATTGCGTTGTATCTTCATAAAGCATTATATCGCACAATCATCGGCATCGTCATCATTGACATCAGTCGTAATATAAAAATAGAAAACTATGAAAAAAAAAAAAAAAAAGGAAAAGCAGAGAAAAGCGCTGAAATTCGTATGTGTGCCTTGTTCGCAAGCTGCTCGAGTATCTCATCCAGAAAGACGGCACGGTCGTGTGCAAGTGGTGCGGCGAGGTGTTGCCGTCCCGGACCCGCTGGTACCGTCACAAGTACAAACTGCACGTGACGTCGAGCTCGTCGAGCTCGGGCCCGAGCGGCCTGCACCAGGCGCAGGCTCCACCGGGCCAAGGCCTCGGGCCCCACCAAACACAGGCCCCGGCGCCGCTCTACAAGTGCCAGAGCTGCAACGCCTACTTCAAGTCGCGCAAGGGCTACATCGGCCACCTGAGCTCGAGGCACTCGTCGGACATCGAGAACGACGAGAACCGAGACGACTCGACGAACGACAAGAACCAGCAGAAAGCGACGAGCCATCACAATGGACGTAGCAAGCTTGACGTAAGGCCCCATACTAGCCGATATATGCTTTGTGCGCCGTTTTACAAAAGTAGACGCACGCTTGTCTGCCGACTTCGAGAGTAAACTAATTTCGACGAGGACTGAGGGATATGTCTTATCGACGTTCTGGTAACGTTCCTTGATTCAGAAAATGCGTTGGACTTGTGCCAGTCCTCGTCGTTTTTTACTTTTCATCTTTATGTACAACATTTTTTTACATTATGCACGATATCCTTTTTCGTATTGTTATACTTAGAAAAGCTAGCAAATATGTTGCAATGTGCAATCAGGACAGATTTATTATTATTATTATTATTATTATTATTATTATTATTATTATTATTATTATTATTATTATATATATTTATGGCTGTTTTAACAATCAAAAAAAGTATGCAAAGCTTATGTAAACCTCATGCATTTGTTTCGTCATCGTTTTTAGCTATTTAAAAATAATATTAATATATCGTAAATTAGTAAAATGCAAATTAAGTGTATCGTAATATTATACCTCTATATATACTTAATTGTTGTATACATTGTCATCATCATTACATTTATCATTATATACCACTAGTCAATCAAAAACCAGATTCTATTGCAGGAATCAGTATGTTTATAAATATTTTAAAGAATCTAGTCAAATTTGCGACGACGTCAGTTTTTAATTATTTATATATAACGTTTTTATACAAATACAAATCTTTGTGCATATAAGTTCCTGTTATAAATAAACATTTAGGAAAAAAATTGATAATGATAATAATACAGTAAAAAGTACAAATAATTGTGCTCTATTTGGAACACGGTTTTTTAGTATCTGGTTTTTTCGAAAACAAGATTCCAATTTATAAGCTCAAAGCGCTCAAAGCTTATACAAATTGCATTTGTTATAATAAAACGATTTAAAGTAAAATAATCTTGTTGTTTGGCATCTTTATATTTCAAACCTACACTGTCATCAAGCAGGACGTGTTTTAAAAACATTTAAAAAATTTAGCATACAATAACATCCTGCGAAGCATAACGATTTCATTCATCGTCGATAGATTTCGTGCATGCCATTTAAAAAAAAACTATTCTTGCATGAAAAATTTCGCAATTACTAATAAATCTTGCTGAAGATAATAAAAGTTTGAATTTCATCAAGCGTGGATGAGTAAATCTATCAATGGGGTGAAGTTGAAATTGGTTAGCTGTATTTTGCTTGAAAATTGGCCCACAGGCTTGCAAGGGCATGGACTGGGAGCAGCAGCGCGAGAAGGAGGAGAAGCTCGTGGCCGACATAATCGACCGGGTGAAGCGCGAGTGCGAGGCCCAGGGTGAGACGGTGACGAGGCGAGGCTACTCCCGCCGCAGCACCGTCATGAGTAGCGCCAGCAGCTAAGGCCGGCTCAACGCCGATGGCGAATCGGCAGCTCGATCGGATGCGATCGGCGACGAGCAGCGCTGCACATTTTTCATCAGTCTCGCATAAACGTGCTCGACAACGGCAATCTTTTTTTTTTTAATCGATAAAACTCATGAGTTTTAGATTTGAGATTATTGCATCACGATAAGACTGTCAACGAAATTGTAAATGCCAATTCATTGCGTTTCAGTATGATACATGACGCCCTCGATGCCAAATGTACTAGTAGATTCGTAAATATTTAGTTTCTGTACAAAAGTGTAATTATGAAAGTGAGATTTATATACAAAATAACATAATCAAAAATCAAGTCGGATAATCAAAGTAAACTTCAAGTAATGTAGCTCAAGCATTCAATTTTACAGCGTATCAAGTTCCCTTTTAACATTTTTTAAAATAAATAACATCACCATATATGTAATTCAATCTTTCCTATCTGTAACTTTAAATTTTATTGTATCGTAAAGTGAGAGTAAACTCTGGTGCCAAAAAGTTAACTATTTATCGGTCAAGAATCTTAGTATACATCAAGCCAAAGAGTATACGGAAGAAGGTCTTGTCTTTCTTGTAACGTTTAAAATTAAATATAATGTCTTCCACAATGAGCTGCAATTTGGTTCCTTGAATTGTTACTCGTCCTGTATTCGGTCTATTTTTTAGTTATCTGTACGAGTATGTTACGCCGAACGAAGAATTGGCTTTACTATTTCTTCGCTTCAGAAGACTTACATAGTCCTAAAAAGTATTAAGTTTCTTTCTATTGCGACTGTTCAGAAGAACATGTAAAAAATAGAAGCGGTGCAATGTTCCGAAGTGGAAAATTAACGAGAAAGCTTATGTGATAGTAATTTTTTCCGATGTACATTTAGTCATAGTGTACGTTGATTAGGATTTATTAACGATCGTTTGTGTCGATTTTTTATTAAAACATATTTTATTGTGAGGAGCGATCTATAAAAAAAATACAATCCTTAATAAAACTGTCCAAGTATTGCATGTACAATACTTTATTACATGAAGAGATATTGTATGCATTATAACTCGGGCTAAGAATCAGTTTGTAAAACTTTTATCAATTGTTTAATTCAAATACAAAACAAAATTTTCAAATTTAAAATTTGGATCAAGGACCATTAAAAATGTTGACGAAACTTATAGCACAACTACCTTTTTTTTAGTCAATTAATTTTACTTTACAAAAAAACCACTAAAAATCATGGAATCTAATGCAAAAAAATCTACATTACGTAAATACGTATATAATACTTGAATAAATAGAAGGTTTGTGATATTGAATTAATACTCTATCATAATATAGCAATTGTAAGTAAAAAATAAAAATGTAGCAGTTGAAAGTGTGATAAAATTAACAAAGTATTTTAAAAAAGGACTTTTATCAAGTTAGCATACAATACTAAAAAATGTCCTGTAAAGTTTCACGAGGTGTAAGGGTCTACAGATGATTAATGATAAGTTATTTCTTAACAAAAATAAGAAATACATCGGAACGAAGAATCGAGAAAAACGATTTTTTTCCGTATAATTAAAAACTTCATTTATCATGTCTGCAAAAAAAGACTTCTGAATATAAGCCTGATTTATTGATTTACAGAAAAATTCACGAGAAGTCCTTTATGTTTATTGCAGTTAGTCACGAAAAATCTGGAAACTTGCGTTGTACATTGAAAAATAACCGTGCGAAAATTTTTAATCTCGAGATAGTTAGATAATATCTGTCACCTTGGTAGACCAACGGCGATATGCACTACCTATTATCAATAATTACAAATCAATCAACTAAGAAATTGTCAAGTACTCTTTTATCCTCCATTCTGTGAGAAAATAGATTTATTATTAAGACTTAAGATGTAGAAAGGAAAAAAATAAACTCATACCAAAATATGATAGAGTGTAAAGAAACGCAACGCCAAATCTCTAAAAAAAAAAGTAGAAAATAGCAAGTATGTGATATAAAAGAAGATTGAGAGGAGTAAATGTTACATCGTTACGTATAAGTATGAATGTCAAGCAAAACAGAAAAAAAACAATTATAATGTACACAACAAGTGCGTGTAAATCATGTTCGTTAAGGAGATAATTAAAGGCTTTAATCTCTCGAACAGCTGGTTTGATGTATTTAACCGATCCTTTCTTTCGTGGTATAGAAAAAAGAAATTGATGAAAAAATCGGACCGGGTGACTTGGCGCAGCATCTCTCCTTGTCACTCACGTGTAGCGGCGTAAGTACATAATATCTGTCCAACATACAATCGTCATTTCGAACTCTGGGGTGTGAAAAATCGAAATATTTTCCGAGAAAGTAGCGTAGAGTGGAGGCAGAACGAGAGAGCAGTAGGAGACCGAATTTAAGCCGAACACACTGGCCCATTGTACATAAATGGTGAGTTGGCCTGCGCGAGAAAGCCCGTACAAGTCGTGGCTATACGTGGGCCTATACGGGCTGGTCGCGCGCGGCGACAATGAGATCAAAAGAATTTCGCTTTTGGCGCGTAGCCAACAATGCATATAATATAAGGATTGTGTGAGCCGCGCGCGCGCCGCTGCTGCTAAACGAAGGGAAAAAGAATTCCGAGAGAGAAAGACGCCCGCGCGACCGAACGAGCAAACCAGCCATGTTGTTGTTCTTTCTTTCTCTTTCTCTCTCTCTTTCTCTTTGCATTCACATTCGCATTCGCATACGTATATAGCAGCAGATATTATATGCTGCTCTTGGCTCGCAGTTGCCTTTGCTGCTGCTCCCCGCAAGTCCCCGCGCATCTCTCGCGCGGTGTTATTTACCTTTAGCAGCCTATAACAACAAGCTGTCCGGCCGCAAGGACCCAGTCCCTCCGTATATATATATACTGTAGCTGCGTTTGTAGATGTGTTGGCTTACGCACACCAGACTCGAGCGCTTACACGAACAACAATCAAATGCAGTCGGTGGCGGTGGCGGCGGCGGCGAGTCCGAACGCCGAGGCTCCGAGAGCTCTTGCAATGTACAGTGCGCTGGCATCCCCCTCCGGTACATTGTCCATCTCTCTCTGACTCGCGCGCGCCTCGCTCGTCCTCCATATTTTCTTCGTATAGCCAGCTTATTCGCTCGCAGCAACCGCGGCTATAGTCCGTGTAGTGCACGAACCTTTCACACCGTCTAGTTATGTTTTAGATCGTAGGCAGCAGTTTTCTATCCGCGAATTAGTCTCCTTTTTTGTTTTTCTGCGCCTTTTTTCGCGCCTCATCCTATCTTCGACTTGCTGCACAGGTTGAGATAAGTGCGTGCGTGTAAGATCGGCTTGTGCATTTTGCATACGTTGTTCAGTGCAGTGGAAAAAATAACGAGGCGCTATTGTAATGTGGGCAAAAGCGACAAAGATCTAAAGACAGCGCGAAGAAAGAGAGAGAGAGAGAGAGAAAAAAGGAGCAAGACAGTGCGAAGAGGAGAGGTAAAGCGGATTTGCCTCTGTGTGATGTGCCTTGTTAATTCGTCCTACACTACGACGAATTTTTGTTTATCACTGGAACTTGCACCGACTCCTCGTAAAAGATGACGAATCTATCCAAGGTCATGATTTTATTACTTCTGCTGGGCCTTGTTCTCGGGCCCAGTATAGCCCTACACAATAAGGATCCACTAGCACCTCATGGAAAATGCGAAAGAATTACCATCAACCTTTGCATGGATATGCCTTATAATGAAACTATATTACCCAATTTGTTGAATCATCAAAAACAAGAGGACGCTGGGCCAGAAGTCCACCAATTTGCACCCCTTGTCAAACTTAAATGCAGTCCAGATATTAAATTTTTCCTTTGTGCCATGTATGCACCTGTTTGTACTATCCTTGATAAAGCTCTGCCACCCTGTAGATCTCTTTGTGAAAGTGCCAGGAAAGGTTGCGAAGATCTTATGAGAAACTTTGGCTTTAGCTGGCCTGAAACCATGGAATGTTCAAAGTTTCCAGAAAATGGTGGCCCAGTACTTTGTGTTGGGAAAAATGAATCTACCCCCACAGAGATGCCACCTCAAGAAGATGTTAGATTGCTGCCTGAATTTCATCCTTCTTGGGCTGCTAATATTCCTAAACCATTCTCAAATAATGGTCTTGTATCATTGTTCCCTGGTGTCAGAGACCTAGGATTTGTTTGTCCAGTACAATTTAAAGTTCCACATGGTTTGGGATATTCTCTTAAAGTTGGAGATAAAGTTGAAGCTAATTGTGGAGCACCATGTGATGGAATGTTCTTCTCTGAAAAAGAGCGCAGATTTTCAAGAATATGGATTGGTACATGGGCTGTACTTTGTGCTGGATCCTGTTTCTTCACATTTTTAACATTCCTCATTGATACAGACAGGTTTAGGTGAGTAATAATTTTCTTAAAGTAATGAAAGAAAGCAGAAAAGTCGATTATAATTTAGCAAAGATTTATTATTTATATGATCACTATATCATTTATACTTTTATAATAATTTCACAGGTATCCAGAAAGGCCAATTATATTTTTGTCAGTGTGTTACTTAATGGTAGCATTGACTTATGTAGTTGGTTGGGCAGCCGGAAATTCTATATCTTGTAGGGATCCTTTTCCTCCTCCCCAAGATGTAAGGGTCCAGATGGCATCAACTATAACGCAAGGAACTAAACATGAACTTTGCACCATATTGTTTATGGTTCTATATTTCTTTGGAATGGCATCAAACATTTGGTGGGTTGTTTTGACCCTTACCTGGTTTTTGGCAGCTGGCCTAAAATGGGGACATGAAGCTATAGAAGCTCATTCGCAATATTTCCACTTAGCTGCATGGGCCGCTCCTGCTATTAAAACTATAACAATTCTTGCTATGGGAAAAGTTGAAGGTATAATTTATAATTAGCAATTACTCATAGCCAAAAATATTGCACTTATTATCATGGAAAACTAATCTTTATGTTTTTTCGTAGGTGATATTCTCTCTGGTGTTTGCTATGTTGGTCTGTGGAATGTTGACGCAATGCGTGGTTTTGTTCTGGCCCCTTTGACCATATACCTTGGTCTTGGTACAGCTTTTCTTTTTGCTGGGTTTGTTTCACTTTTTCGCATTCGCACTGTCATGAAGCACGATGGTACCAAGACTGACAAACTTGAAAAGCTCATGATCCGCATTGGAATATTTTCTGTACTTTACACTGTACCAGCTATTATTGTAATAGCTTGTTTAATTTATGAACAAGCATACTTTGACAGTTGGATGGTTGGTTGGAATATGGATATGTGTTCACGCCCTGGTCTTCAATCAATTTATGCTATTCCATGCCCTATTGGGGATAGAGCAAGAGATCTTGGAAGAAAACCAGATTTTGAAGTATTCATGATTAAATACCTCATGACAATGATAGTTGGTATCACCAGCAGTTTTTGGGTTTGGTCAAGCAAAACTCTTACTAGCTGGCGTCAGTTTTTTCATCATATTCAAGGAAGACGTACAAACGTATACGTATAGAAGTAGAAGACGAAATCGAGGTTTGATTGAAATTTAACAAAGTGCTGAGCGCCTGAAATACCTAGAAATTGGTAACTATTTGTTGCTATAAATAATTCGTTTGCTGCTAGGCTATAATTGAATTAATTTGAGAAAATTTAATTCAAGCTTAACAACAAGCGTCGGTTTTCTAAACCTTATATTTTTATTACAGTAAAACATGACAAGATACAATTTTTTTCAGAATTTTATTATGAAAGAATTTTTACTTTAAAAAATTCAATTTAAAAAATGAAACAATTTTATATTTTTCGAAACTTGTAAAATAGTTTTTGCACTGATGTTAGGCTAATAATGTTTTTGAAGCATACAGACGGATGCAATAGCTCAAAAGCAGTAAAAAATTAGTTCATTAAAATTGTAACGGTTGATTCTACCACTGGGAATTGACTCTCTTAAAAAAAAAAAAAAAAAAAACGGATAATTGACCGAAGTTACTCTCAACACGTCCGAGTTCATCAATATATATGTTTGAATTTTGGACGAGCCTTGATGTTCGTGTTCCTACAAAGTTATGAATATGCGTTTTATAATTGAGCAAAGATCTGAAAATAATTTGAAAATGGACACTGCAGTTGTGAGTTTTATTATCTTTTCCGTGTATAGTAAATTTTGTGCCAATTAAGTTGTTCAATTTGTATATTTTTAACTACAATTTGTAAATCAGGCTTTGTATATTTTTATACTGTTCATTTAAAAATATTTTAATGTCTGACTTCATATCAAAAGTAGTGCAACACTTTAATGTGCACGTTGACATTAGACTGACTAAAAAAAATACTCAAATACAATCTTTTTTTGTAAGATATTACTAATGCTGCCATTTTCGATGTACTGATTTTTAATGCCAAACAAGAATTTTTGATAAGAAGTCTTACAAACAAAATTCGTTTACTTCAATAAGAAGTACTTAAATCAAACTTATTTTTAAATGTTAGTAATAGTCATGTTAGTTTTAATTTTATTCACGTTATTATATCTATAATTTATCGAACGAGTGAATATGTTTTATTAATACAACTACGCGATATCGTCAGTATCGTTTTCACGAGACGATATGTTTTACTAAGAGAATAGTAAATATCTGCACTGCTACTCTTGAAGTAAGTCGTATTCAATTGTCTTATTCCATTTTTTAAAACGGGTTTTACTGTGTTTACAAAAAAATTTGGAAATACTCCGCGTGATTGTTGAATAGCTAATAGCATTTTTTAAATCTTTACTAACAGATTGTACATATTATGATAAAACTTTAGATTATAATATTGTATCATAAGAGCCTAATACTTACTTTTGTGTAAATACATTTGTGTTAATGTAATTATAAAATTTTGATTCGTTTCTGTTCGTAAAACAATTGATGATTCCTTGTAAATGGTTAATAATTTTGAAAATAGTCAGTTCGAAATAAGCTTTTCGTGTTCAATTATGTCGTCCATTTATAATCGAGCTTTCAATAATGATGAATGAATATTTGATTCGACGATAATTTTGTTGAAAAAATAAATTCTAAAATATTGCTTGAAAAAAAATTCTGAAATCTTGTTTGAAAAAAAAAATTTAGTGTGAACAACAAAGCTCTATGTGCGTGCGCTTCAGAATAGCATTTTATGAATGTACTAAAAATTGTACTATAAAAATTTGTAAATGTACTTGTGATTTGAAAAATGACGCTAAACATTTATAAATAACAAATATGTATCGTTAAAAGCAGTGTTTATGTGTATTGATAATACAAATTTTTACGAACAAAATTATAACAAAAATATTTATGAAACTGTAAAAAGTTTGTACGCTTAAATTTTTATCTTTTATATGATCCATGACTGTGTATGAAAAACTTTAAATGAGCAAGTGGTTTAGAATAAGTTAATACTGTCCTTTTTTTGTATGCTTAAGTATGAATATGCTTTATTGTATGTGTTGATTCTTGAAACGATGTAATTGGTGTAAAATTATAAATTGAAAAATTGTGAAACAAATTGCATTTTCTTCACTTTTTGAGCAATAAATAACTTTATCATACAAATAATGTTTAATCGTCTTATTAATCATAAATAAATTATACAATTTTATTACCAAATCTCTTTTATTTCAATTATAATACAAAACTTTTAACGTAATAATTTATTATTTTGTATACAAAACAGCATTGAAATTATTAGGTCGGAGTAGCTGCCTTAGGTGGCTTAAGTACTCCTTTCTTACGCAAAAATCGAACAAGTATAGGAGTGCAACCTAAAGTTAGAGATATTCTTACAGGAGCAAACAATTTGTGTACGGCATAAGCTATAAGGAACGTAGAACTTTGACCCATAACAGTTTTGATCAAGTCGTCTTCACTCTCTCCAGCAATAAATTTTATAGCTGGAGTTATGTCTAAGCCACTGAAATCACAAAAATTACGTCAATAAATGAAAAAGGAACGCGATCATTCTCATATTACCTCGATACGACCCAGTAAAAGCTTCCTAGTGATACGAGCGAGATTCCTATGTGAAAAGCCATTACAGTCCTGCCGTAATCCCTTACGAGTATGCCGAGTTTTTGTCTTTTAGACATCGAATCCCAAATTTTTTGATTCTCTGATTTTGTTGGGCTCGTTTTTTTTTCATTTTGATTTTTAACGTCACTAGTTACAGGTGAAGAGCTCGTACAGTAATTACGAATGGCTGTAAAAATGGACGTTTATTTTTAATGCAATTGAGTGAAAAACGAACCGGTTTAGAAAAATATTCTTTATAAAAAAAAGTCAAAAGGTACAGATGTTCAATAATTAAGATAAGTATTGAAAATTTGTAGAAAAGTTCATTGATATAAAATTTTTTTGGTTTTCGTACATTTTTTTTATAAAAATAAATTCATTTTGTATTCAAATAATCGGTTGTACATTGTAAATTATCGTAATAAAGAGTCAACACGTGACTTAGAGGTAAAGTCATGTACATGTACATAATTACACATTTGAGAGGATAAAATTTCCTGCTCGCTAATCATGCGTATGCAAATCATCAGATACATTGTATGTAATCATAGTTTCATGGCACATATAACTAACCATCGAAGGCTCCACTTCTGTTGGCGTCTCTCATTTGATAAACGGTAAAATGCGATTTTCTGATATTTTCAGCCAAGTACTTGGCTTCCCTGGCCCAAATGCCTCCAGGCATGTTCAAATAAGTCGAGCGATTTCCAGACAAAAATGGCTTCGGAACATTGGTCTGCATCGAGCTGCTGAGACTGACGACTCCGAAGCAGTCGTAGCAATCGGTCTGCTGCATCCTGACGCTGGAGCCCGTATTGAAGGCTGATTTGTTGGTGCTGCCGAACGAGCTGGAGAATTTGTTTGGATCCTGATTGTAAAGGAAAAGCGGGGCCGATATGTCACGCGATCGCTCGGGTCCGAAGCTCGTTAACTCGGTGTTCAACACCTCTGAGATGTTGTGAGGTAGAGGCAGACGAGGAGCTTCTGGATAGCGACGTACCGACGAGGCGTGTAGAGGACGATGATTATTTTGCTGACAGGACGACGGTACCGTTGTGGCTGGAAAACAAAATCACATGCCTTTAGCATCGCATTGAAGAAATTTAAAGGGTCGCTTATCGGCTAGCGTCTCGTGTCGGGGACTTTTAAAGTTTTCGGAAGCGTTTAAGTAGAGCTCGAAGGTCGAATAGCTTTTAAATGACTGTATAAAGACTAACAAAACAAAAAGTCATGTATCCGAGCACGCCAACACTGCATGATTTTTGCTTACATATTTCTTCTTGACATTGGTATTTAATAAAAATATATTTTTTAAATAAAATTAACGTGTGCTTAGCTTCACGCAAACAAGGGCTGACGCCGTTCCTAAATTGTGCTGAAAAATTTCAACTTCAACTCGGGAAATTTTAGGGGTAAAAAACTAAAAAAACATACCTGCATATGACGATTTAGCCAATATTCCAGCCAGATCGGCTGATGAAGAACCAACGCGCATCAGGGCCATAATTGTGTTGATGTCAAATCACGGCAAATAAATTCAATCTAACCTCGTGCGAATTTTCAAAATTAAGAAAAAGTGTCGCAGACTTGAGGTCGCTTGAAGAATCGTCGAGCGACTGCGACGTTTTTTTCTGAAAATGTAAGCAGCGAGATACAGCGTAGTACGTATACTGGCGAGTGTCAACTCCTGGAAAGTCACTGCATAATGATCACGGCACAAAACCTGTTCTTCCTGGTGCGCTGATTATTATGATATTATCTTCGGCCAATTATTCAGCGAGTGGCTTGCTTCATATGTCACACAGCACTCAATGCACAATGAGCACTGAACTCGAGAAAGAGCTTTGGGAAAAAATTCGGATCAAATGTTGCCTATTGTTACATGAATCGCATTTATTCACCTTTACAACACCAATAGACGCGTGTCGAGTACTGTTATGTTATGTCTTTTATCGCTGTAGTAGAAGCTATAAAAAACATGTGCAAAGTTGACTGCATTGCCTTTTGCTAACTCGAGCTTTTAGCGGTACGCGACAGATGGCTGCACTCTGGGCGCCAATTCTTTGAAATTTTTATTCGTGGCTTTGTATTATATGATCGACAATAAAATCACTTACAATTCAATTCTGAACACTTTCAAACGCCATGACAATAAATAATTAAAATAATGTCTATGGAAAAATTTTCAATTTATTCGAAATTTGACTGTGATACACCACATTATTTCAGGCAGTTCTCCGTTGTACAAAAATTGTTAAAAGAACTTGTTTAGGCGATCATTTATCAAATTGGAGTTGAAGCTTCTATCATTATTATTTTGAAATACATTTTTATTAATCTATTCAATAGTTTCAACATTACCAATAAAATATTTCTCATACCTAAAGTGTATATTAGCCATTATTATTTTCAAAAATGATTCATTTTTTACTAATTTATTTCAGTTTTTCTACTTAAATTTCTAACGCAAAACAAAAAATTTTTTTTCTATTTTTATCGTCAATTTAGTTATTTATTCTTATCGTTTGATTGAAATAACATCCTCGTTGCATAACTTAGTAAGTCAACAGTACGATTTATGTATTTCTGTAGATTAATTCCGCTCCTAAATTGCAAACTCTCGACATTAATCACAATTGGTATTATCGATAAGAACAAGTATTTTTATACATCACAGTTTTCGTTAATGCTGATAATCGTCATCACGCAATTAGATAAAAAGTCGTCTGATGTGTGTTATGCATACTGTAAAGTATCGTGGAAGGGAGAGAAATAGAGAGTAGTTAATCAAACTTTATTGGTCGTTTGTGCTGTTGACACGCGGGTTGCTTATAATGAAATGATCTGCTCCAAATTAATGTTTCGTTGAATTTCAATCGAGTGTAAGCATTTTCAGTCACACGATTCTTAGATATTACTCTCGAATGGTAATAAAAGTAATTAGCGATAAACCAAAGCCCGCAACGTAATTCATGACAATGTACATTACACACACACACATGATACGAGCGCTAATACTAATCACCAAGCGTAGCAATTCTCATACAGAATCAGCCTTACGGCCAGGCTGCTTTATCTCTCCGTGAGCCTTCACGGCGCGCGCGCAAAAATTGATGTTGAAACTCGATCTTGCAGCTTGCTTCCAGAACTAGTCGCAGATATTCTGCTCTGCAGTGCTCGTCTGCTAACTCGATCGTAAACACGTACACGCACAACCATTTCCTTCCAGAAATTTCAGATAGATTGCTCATTTTATTACGATAAAAAAAATTATCCGCTATGGCATTGACTTCGCAAATCGGCAGCATTGCTCGTAACTGCAATGGACTTGCAGCTGTTCCAGCGAGGCTTAGGTAACCAATATTTTCTACATACTTTGACTGACCTTCAATCAATTCTTGACCTGATTATCTTCGCGCTAAATCGAATATTCGCACACACCCAAGAACACGTGTTTGGCTTTGCTTATTATATCAATCTCATGCGATGACTCTATTTGTTTTAGATTATTCAATTTTAAGCGACTTTGAAATTCATGATAAATCTTATTTGGTCACGTACAAATTTTGATCTAAACATACATGTAATGCGATATCCACTACTAATAGCACTGATTTCTATGAACTTCATATTATTAATTTCTTTATTTTCACTTTCTTCCAGAAGATCCTTATATACCTGTATCCTTTATGATATCCTCATCCTGCATTTGCATCAAATAACAAAATATGTATCTTGTATACTAATGGATAGTAAGCTTCATTTTCTTATAAAAACAATTTGTATTTATAGTTGAAAAACAAACATTCAATATTGTTTCAAAATTTTCAGTTCGTGGTGGTCTCATGTTGAAATGGGACCACCCGATGCCATTCTTGGAGTTACAGAAGCTTTCAAAAGAGACCAAAATCCCAAAAAAATAAATCTTGGTGTTGGAGCTTATAGAGATGATGATGGCAAACCATTTGTATTGCCAAGTGTAAAAAAGGTACATGAGAACTATCATTGCATCATCTAGAGTTGTTGTCTTAGTGTTGTGAAAAAAAAATCAAATAATATAAACTCTTTTTAAAGGCAGAGGAAAATCTTCGTGTAAAGAATTTGGATAAAGAGTACTCTCCTATTTCTGGAAGTGCTGACTTTTGTAAACATGCAATTACCTTAGCTCTTGGTACTGATAATGAAGCTATAACTAATGGCCTTGTAAGTTATTTGTGATGTTTTGTAATATTATATTCAATAAATAAACGTAAAATAAATATTAATTATGCAACTTTTTTCAGAATTCTACTGTACAAGGTATATCTGGAACAGGGTCTTTGACCATTGGAGCCCATTTTTTGAGTAAATGGTTCCCAGGAAACAAAGATATCTATCTTCCCACCCCTTCTTGGGGTAATCACACACCTTTATTCAAATTAGCTGGATTAAATGTAAAAGCATATAAGTATTACAATGCTAAAACCTGTGGACTTGACTTTCAAGGTCTTTTGGATGATGTGACTGTAAGTAATAACTATTAATTTATATGATGACATAAACAAATATTTTAATATTTTAAAATAATTAATTTCCAGAAAATTCCTGAAAAATCAATCATTCTATTACATGCTTGTGCCCATAATCCAACTGGTGTAGATCCAAAGCCAGAACAATGGGCTGAATTATCAAATCTTATTAAGAAGAAGCAACTATTTCCTTTCTTTGATATGGCCTACCAAGGCTTTGCTTCAGGTATATATCATTTGTCATTTTTTAAATTTTTTCATTATAGAATAAAAAAGTTGAGAGAACAAAATTAGCCATTCAAAATGTTTTATTTATGCTGTATTTATAGTAAATTTATTTTTTAAATTCAAGGGGATGTTATGAAAGATTCTTTGGCTGTGAGAATGTTCATCAAAGAAGGACACAATATTGCATTAGCCCAATCATTTGCCAAAAATATGGGTCTTTATGGTAATTTTTAATGTTCTTTACTCAATGTTTTTAAAATAAATTATGATTAAAACCAATTGAATTTAAAATTTGTAGGCGAACGTGTTGGAGCATTTTCTTTGATCAACTCTGACAAAGATGAAGCTGCTCGTACCATGTCTCAAATAAAAATTTTAGTTAGACCAATGTATTCTAATCCTCCTATCAATGGAGCTCGCATTGTTAGCGAAATTTTAGGTAATGATGAATTGAAGAATCAGTGGCTCGTTGATGTCAAAGGAATGGCTGATCGTATTATCTCTGTGCGATCTAAACTCAGGGAAAATTTAAAAAAGAATGGCAGTACTCGTGACTGGTCACATATTACTGATCAAATTGGAATGTTCTGCTTTACCGGTCTCAAAGCTCCAGAAGTAAGGCAACAAGTTTTATACTTCTACTCTTTGATAAACTTAAATTTTAAAACAAATGTTATATTTGAATAGGTTGAAAGACTTACAAGAGAATTCAGCATTTATCTTACCAAGGATGGCAGAATATCCATGGCTGGTGTAACATCTAAAAACGTTGAATACCTTGCCCATGGTATACATGAAGTTACCAAGTAATCTACCACAACTTAAATAATCCCAATTTGAGTATTTTTCACCTTAAGTAACTAAATCTCTTATGTGCACACAAACAAGATATTCAACACAATCAATATAAACGTCCGATTGATAAATAGATATAAACATGAACTTCTATATATTTTGACATTAAGAGATACTAATATGATATATTTAAAGATTAATGTACAGTGCATTTACTGATATATACAGCGTGTTATTTTTTTAAAGAAAATCACTGCTGGCAGTGTAGTAAGTGCAATTTTCAATGCATCCTGCCTGTTACATTATGCATACATAATTTATATAAATAATTTTTAAATTGTAAAAAAAAACTAACATTCCTCTCTTCTAAGATTTAAAAAAAGTTTTTATAGTAACATTTTGTCTTGACCAAGGAAATCATGAATATTATATACTAGGACAGTCGTAATTTGCTATCATTTTTTTTTTATTAAACTTCCTATTTTGACTATGGAATAGACTTCATGATGAAATTAAGATGATTTAAAAATTGACCAGTGATTGAGAATAAACGAGTGAATGATTGTATTTACAAATATAAAATGATGCAAGTTATGTTCAGTTCTTTATTTCCAACCCCTGCCAACTGCCTGAACTGACACTTTTGGCCTGTACATTTTCACGGAGTTTCATTTGATCGATACAGGTGAACGCGGCAATATCGCATATCACATATGTCTCAGCCATGCAAGTATTATTATGCCAACGAGAACAACATCATAAAAGGCCAAGAAAAAGAGCCTCCGCCTAAGTAGTGCAACACATCACGGAATCAACAATGAGCCACGGTTGTCATGGAGAGCTTGAAAAGCTCCTCGCGCCTTTTAACTAGCCGGTTCGCGTGCACGCAGTCGTGTTTACTGTGAACCTTAGTCGAACATGCCGAACGCGCCAGGCCCATGAGGCAACAAAATTTTACTCGTCGTTTGCAGTAAAAACAAGCATAAATCATGGCGAATGCCGTCGAGCAGGTGCTCGAAGATCTCGGTTGGAACGAGGGTTTCCGATTGCCAATTGCAAATACCGAAAATAAACGTTTGGAAGAAGAGGTCAGTTAATAAGTATCTTATTTTTTTTTCTATTAATCAATCGGCGAATGAATGAAATCTGACTGCAGGTCGAGCGAAAAACTCGAGAGAGAGCATCGCTTCGGGCTGCGCTTGAAAACACCCAGGAACGCATACGGGAAATCCGCAAACATGCCAGCGATATCAAGGCCGAGGAGAATCAGCGTCGTCGCCTCCTCGGCGCTCATTCGGGCGAAGTCGAAGCCGAGCAACGTCTTTACAAACTCGCTCAGGCCGAGGAGTCGAAAATCCAGCAGGATGCGCGCAACTGCGAGAAAAAGACGAAAGAGACCGACGAGAAATTGCAGACCCTGCAGAGCAACGTGGCCAAATTGACGAAAAAATTGGAAAGCATAAAAAAAAATATACTAGTCGATCGAGATAAGCTGTTAGCTTGGGAGGAGAGGTTGAATAGAAAAGACGAGAGAAACCAATTGATCGAGCAATTTGTCAAGAGCGACGAAAAAACGTTCAAGGTAGGTTGAGATACAATTCCGTTGAAGGTCGTTGAAAAATAGATCCCCTAACTCGATCGGTTCTGTTTGAAGAAAGTAGAATTAGAGAGGCAGACGTTGAGCGAGAAAGCGGAGACTTATCGGCAAGCCGTTGTAAAAAGCGTCGGGGACATTCAAGAGCTGGAGCTGAATTTGGAAAAAAGTGCACGCCTCTACAACCAAGCGGTGAAGGATCGTCGCCAGCTGATGAAGCAGTGGTCCCAGAGCATACAAGTGTTGACCCAGCGAGACAAGTCGATCTTCGATGCTCTGCGCGACATCAACGAGCTGCGCGAAATCGCCAAAGAGCGCATGGACTCTTACCAAGAGCAGGAGAGATTTCTGCAGATCCAAGAGCAGGAGAACAAAGAGACCGAGGACAACATTCGTCATTTGGAGAAAGAGCTGATGATCCGCAAAGGGGAGCAGCAGAAGCTCGCCACGGCTCTCGACTCCTTTCTTCTGGAGTATCAAGTTCGCAAGAAGGAGCTGCAGGATATGGCGCGCCAAGTCGAGGACACCAGAGCCAGCAGCAAGCGAAAGAAGAACGACTTGGAAAACAAAGAGTTGAAGATGACCGATTGCAAGACGAGAATCAAGGAGCTGAAGGAGACCTTGAAGAACATCGATCATCAGAAGATGAACACCGAGGAGAGAACTTGTCAGTTGCAAGAGCTCTTGGAGGTGAGACGTTTGAAAGCTAGCCAGCTGTAGATCGTTGCAACGGATTATCCATTTACAGAGAGAAGAAAAGCGCAAGGCGTCCATGCTGAAAGAAACGAATCGCCAACAAAGTTTGCTGCTGAAATCGGTGCAACGCCAATCGGAACTCGAGGGCGAGGTGAAGGTGGCGCGCATGCGACAGCAGGCCGAGTTCAAGCGTCACGATCAGCTGAAGCAGGAGCAAGTCCAGCTGGAAAAGTTTCTGAAAGATCGCCGCGAGTGGGTGTATCGCACGGATCTCGAAGTTCAGAGGTGCGAGATGCGCCTGGCCTTGGTCATGGGACAGGTCCGCGACAAGGAGGAACTCGAGGCCAAGCAGCAGAGGATCGAGCAGTTGAAGAGGATCGCCAAGGAGAAGGCCGAGGTGGCCAAGGTTTTGAGCAATCAGTTGTCGCAAGTCGAGGTGATTAGCCGAACGATAGGCTACCCGAGTCGAGTACTCTGGCCCGACTACTTTTTATTGACTTTTAACGGCTCGATTTCCAGAACGACGTGAGACTCATCGCCAAGGCGATCGAGAGCAACGCCGAGGAGGTGAAACGATTGAACAATCGCAAGCAGGATTTGGCTCTGCTGATCGACGGCGGCGAGAAACAGCTGAAACTGGCTCAAGCCGCGTACGAGGAGCGCCGAGTCGAGGAGAGCCTCCTCGAGCTGAAGCTGAAGGAGGCGACCAAGATCGTGGCCAAGGTCGACGACAAGCTCTTCGACCTGGAGGAGTGCGCCGTACACATGGAGGCGGCCATGCAGGAGAGACGCTGCGAGATCAACGACCAGAGGGAGCGACTCAACATGCAGAAGAAGATCCTGTCGGCCGAGTGCGGCGAACTGCGCAGTGTCCTGTTGGAGCGCCGCTCGAGGCTCCAGCAGTTGCGCTCGCGCTACGAGCTGCTGGTGGCGACCCTCGGCAAGAACCCCGAGGACGGCGGCCCTCTCACGACTGCCTACCTCCTCATACAGAGCGCCCAGGAGCGCTACCTGCTGCAGGAGCGCGGCAACAAGCTCGACATGGCCATCAGGAAGGCCGAAGCCGAGATCCGCAGCATGGAGAACACTTTGAGGCTCGTTAACGTCTGCAACGACAAGTACAAGTCGAGCCTGTCTATCGTCGACGACAAAGGCCCGGAGAAGTTGCAGCAGAAGAAGCTCGACGAGGAGCTCTTTGAGGCTCTCGACAAGCTCAGGACCAAACGACAGGCCCTCGCTAAGCTCCAGGACGATTTGAAGGTCTGTTTTACCTGGGATATGCGAAATCTTATTGGGCTAGCCAACGATTTAAAACGTCCATCTCGTTCGTCCTTAGAGTATGGAAGATAACTGCGAGCAGTTGGACAAGGACGTGAAGAGGGTCAAGGACGAGAAGGAGGACAAACGCGAGATCGCCTCGAGTCTCGAGCAGCAGATAACCGAGCAGAGAGACAAAATCTCCAGGGCCGATAAAAACCTACGCAAAGTTCTCAAGGACGTGCAAAACAAGTGCATCTGCTCTTCCGACGAGACGATAATACTGCAAGAGGTGAGTCCTTGGCTTTGTGCACGATTATTTATGCGATTCAATCGGTAATGCAAAAACTAATGAATCGGCTGCAGAGGGATATAGCCGTGCGCGAGCTGAGCGAGCAAAACAATCTGGCGCTTCAGCGCATAGCCGAGTTCGCCATACGCCACATCGAGGCGGAGGCCTACGTGAAGAAGCTGCTGTCCGAGCGGAACATCGAGCTGCCGTCGGCCTGTCTCTACGCCAAGAGCCCGGCCACGACGACGCCCCGGAGCAGCTGCGCCTCGTCGAGCCGCTTGTCCACGAGCCGCTCGAGCCACGCCAATCTGACGGCCAGGAGCAAACTTAGTCTCGCCACCGGCTCGAGGGAGGCCACCGTCTCGAGGATGCGCTTCGAGCCTGACTTTTCAGGTAAACTCTCTCATTCGCGATCGCCCCATCTCACCTGCTCTTTTCCATTTACCTTATTTATAAATTTCTTCTTCCCTTGTAGATACTGCGAGGACGTCGAAGTCGACCGCTAATTCAATCCAAAAAGGCTCGTCTCAAGCCAAGTGACGTTGCTACGTTTTCCTCGCACTCCATACCTCGTGTCACTTTGTATGAATGTAGACGCGAGAACGCTGCGCCACACGGGGAAAATCATCTTTTATTTTTTCCTAGCTCAGAATGTACATTTTGGTTTTATTCGTTTTTCAGTAACGACTGTGCAATACATGTGATTTTAACGTTATTTATATATTTTACGTTTACGTTTAATGGCAGATATTTTTTAAATGCGATAAAATGTCATTTAAAAAATATGAGTATTTTACGCCGAATAAAAAATCATTTTTTGTCATAAGCCTTCACCTCTTTATGTTGATTCGTCAAGTAAACGATCTCTAAGTAAAATTCGTTACAATAATTATAACTATGCGATTTTTTTATCCCGAAACTGATTTATACCTTTATATAACGAGAATATGATAAGAATGATTATTACAAGCTGTTTTTTGGAAGAACTTCTTTGCCGATGAAGAAGGAAAACATCCATACTCTAAAAATGTTCAATGGAAATAAAAACTGATTCTATTTGCCAGATAAAAACGATATTGTTGTCAGCTTTTATATCAAGGCATAATCGGATTTGTGAATAAATTTTTTTTTAAATTTTTTCCGTAGAATTTTGATGTAGAAAAACGATTAAAGTACATGACACATGATTAAAGTTGTGACACATTACACCGATAAAACAATTTTTCAATATTTTTCATTCAAAAACTCAACATCGGTCAATTCGTCACTCAAAATGAATTCGTTGAGTAAAACTAACAACACCATAAGATTTCAGCTGCTACGAGTGGGAGGAAAAGTCACCGAAACACGAGTGCAATCTGCCATCGAACGAGAAGTGGTCGATCCACGGCATCTGGCCGACCCAGAACCACACGATGGGCCCGTTCTTCTGTAATGAGTCGTTGCACTTTGATTTGGCCGCCCTCGAGCCGTTGAGAGCCAAGCTGGAGGTCAAGTGGATCGACTTGCACAAAGGCGGAAAGCCGCACGAGTTCTGGAAGCACGAGTGGGAGAAGCACGGCACGTGCGCCATCGACATCGAGGAGGTGAGCAACGAAAAAAAGTACTTCCAGAAGGGCCTCGATTTGATCGAGAAATACGACATGAAGGGGGTGCTGGCTCAGGCTGGCTTGGCGCTCAATCGGTCCTACGATCTGCAAGATTATTTGGCAGCCGTCAAAAAGGTCTTGGGCACTAATGCCTACGTCGAGTGCGTCAGAAATCACGTGAGTTCCTCACTTCCTACAGGCGTAAACAAAGAAACAAAACATTAATGACTGACACAGGCTCTCTCTCTCTCTCTCGTTGCAGAAAAAGAACGAGTCTTACGTATCGGAATTAAGAATATGCTTCGACAAGAAATTCCAGCTGATCGATTGCAACGGCATCCCCGAATTTCCGAGCAATTGCAAACGCAGCGACAAAATAATCTATCCGGCCTGTCCACCAGAATTAATCGCTCCGCCGACGGTTAAACAAGTTTGACGCGCGCTTGCCAATATCATCAATATTAATCGAGTGCGAGAGGCAGTGTCGGATTTTTTTCATTCGCACCATATCGACAACGAATCGCACTGATTCATTTGACGTTTCTTCCTATGTAAATAGTTGGGATGTATGTGAGAGCCAAAAATGATTTTAATCAACTTTGTTTGCGCATCAATACATTTTTTATTCATAATTGTGCTCTACATTAAACTTGTGTCATTCATTTCGTCCACGTTAAATTTGAAATGACGTTTGTTGCTCTTTTTACAAGGTCCTGTGTCGAGTCGAAAAGATTCGCCGAGTCTCGGTAGCTTTTTAAATATATTGCGCAGCTTTGATTCATTTTTTGGTACATCTGGCTTACCGCGAGTCAGTTATACTAAAAAGCTACAAGCTCGAGCCGAGTATTTCATTAGAGCGAAAAGCAGCCAGTCGCAAAGTAGTCGAGCTAATGAAACTGCCCCACCGAGTTGAAAAAAAGGAGCGTATATTTACGTGAGTATATTTTGCCACCCACCGAGCCAAGCTCAAATAAGTCCATTAGAATTGAGAAGTCGAAAGGTGAGTCCACAAAACTACCGAGCAGAATAAATAAAGTTGATTTGCGATTTTTCAGTGAAGACGATTTGTTCGACCATATTTTACAATGGAACATGGAGAATATGTATCCCAACGGCATTAGCTCGTTGTTTAGTCTGATATTTATTATACACCAACAAATTCACACACTCGAGTACATATGTTACCTATAGGTACACGAGGATGAGTTCTGATTTCCCTGCAGATTACCCTCGGTGTAAATATGATGTATCGACGCGAAGGATGTGCCGCCTTACCTTTTGCTTTCGCTTGTGACCGATATTTTGGTTTCTGCATCAAATTGCCAGTCGTTACGAATTTTTATACAATGTGTTGTGATTATATATTTTTTATAAATTGAAACATGCTACATTTTTTGAGGGATATTTTTTATTTTATTTTAATTTGAAAAAGTAAATTAAGCATTTCAAGTCAATACGAGAACAATTTTTCAATTAATTACAATTTTTCTATGGATCTGCAGAATCGATCGATCTGTCCCTCTTCCGATGTAGATGATCTTCCAAATTGACTGCCTGGTGCAATTCTAAAAGTACTTCATTTATGAATGAATGACTACATGTGGAGCATTCGTAACCTCGAGCACGATGTCTTTTTTTATTGTTAGAGGCCATGACTTGATTCCTCAGAATGCAATATGTTATTTTGTCTAATGGTTCGAAGCAAATTTCTTTGGCTTTTATGTCAAACTTGTTGCTCGTGTCATTGTAATAGATATTGTATGTTCCGTCTTCGAGACCATTTTCTTCTTCATCCGATAAAATTATAAGTATTAATCCTGCCTCTCTTTCGTAGACAGTTATATCCACAATACCGGTTCCGTTCAAAAAGTGTCCTTCGGAACTGCTGGTATCCGATGTCCATAATTTTTTTTCTTTTTGTTTAAAGGATTCTTCCAACTTAATAGTGGATATGTGGTAAAGTTCATCTTGAGAGGTGTTCATAATTTGTACCAGCTTGATGCTTGCTAACTCTCTTGGTTCTCGCTCAGCTTTGTTATTTATTAATAGTAAAAATGCTGGGTTCTGTTGACCAATTTTGTTCTTTAAGATGACTGCGAACTTGAATGTTTCTTTTTCAGTAAATAAATGGGTCAAGCCCTTTATCCAGCCGTTGTTGGTGTTTTTTTTAATGTGTTTGCAAAGACTTTGGATTGACATGATAGCTAACGTTTACTATAATTTGTTCAACTGTTTCAATCTCGAGCAGTGAGTGTAGACTGAAAAGCGAAAATCAAAATAACGTACTTTGAGTTGGTAAATTCAAGAAGTGTTGATATTATGTTTATATTTTTAACATTATTTTGAACGAATACAAGACTCATTTATGAATATCGAAACTCAGATATTCATATACTCATTGTTGTATTATTAATTTATTATTTGCGTACTCATTTCAAATTTAAGTATTTATTATTTTCTGCCGCGAGGATAGAGGAAAGAAAGCGCTGACTTTTTCCATCTTCGATATTTCCCGCGCGTGTCTTATCTGCGTTCGATGTATTTTGCACGACTATTTGAAAGTCCAGGGCAAGTCTCGGGTACTTTGGCTATGTGTATTTTTGCATTCAACGTTCGCGAGCGGAGCAGCTCGAGTTAATAGTCGTTTTTTTTCTCTCTCTCTCTCGACTGATTAATTGTCAGCGAGCGGGACGAGCGGTTTACTACCTGTAAATTCAGGACGAGCAGCGAGCTTTCAACGACGATACATATACGTACCTTAATACTTAAAATTGAATCTCGGGCGTGTATATTTACGCAATTTTGCAGCACTTAAAAAATGTCAAGTTTTCGTCGTCGTTTCCATTTCGCATGGCTTTGTCGCAGACTATCCTGCAGAATAAAGATAACCAAGTTGGAATTGTTTCAGATGAATAATTGAAATTCGTGAATGCGCCTATAGCTGACGCAAACTCCTCGTGTTTAGTATCTGAATTATCAAGTTTTCGAGGGGTATAAAGAGCGTCTCTCGCTGCGCCGAGGAATTGGCCCGTGAAACTTTGAAGGAAAAGATGAAAAGTTGCGCGAGCAACTTAATCGACGACTCTCCTCCAAGGATGACGGATTCAGCCCGAGACTGCAGCTTTTGACTGAATTTTTTCTGTCGCCCAATTTACAACGGAATTTCTTCAATTCAGTGTAAATAGCGGAATGTAAGTAATAGCTTTTCGAGCACTTAATTCGAATCTTCTGTATATACTCAATGAACGAACTATCCAGAGCTGCAGGCTCGAGTATTTGAGCTGCGAATTCTCGATGCCATTGAAATTTAATCATACGGTCTTTCGCTTTGATTTAATAGGTGCACCTCAAACTTTGCAGTATTGGCAGTATTCTCGTTCTTTCTTCGAGTTTCGCGTGTACCGTCACTGCTTCGATAAACAGCTCGAAAGAGAGTCCAAAGTCAACGGACTCGAAAGAAATGGCAAAATATGTTGAAAACCGAATTGTCAACGGCCGGACGTGCCGAGAGCCTTTCATAGTTGAGCTTTGCCGCTGGAGATGCAGACTTTTCCCCAAGTATACTCGGCGCTTTGCACTCGTGACACGTTCGATATAGCGAACATATGAGAATATCACGAGAACAATAAAGACATTTTATTGGGTGAAAATTTCGAAGGAGGAAAAGCAAGTGGTTGTGGCGCGGCGTCACGCCTGTTGATTTATGCGCGCACGAAACGAGATAATTCTCGTAATACGTGAGCGCGATCGTATACATGGATGTAGCGAATTTTGTAATTCAATCAATTGTGCGCGTGCAGACGCACACGACCGATCTCGCTTCGTATCATATAATAATGCGAAACAGCTCGGGTAGGTACGCAGTAATGTCCGACGCTCGGAATTCATTATACATTCGACAGATTATTCCACGCACAAGTATGACTCAAGTTTCTGCCGCATATGCATATAATTCATGCGCGCTATAACGAAAAGCTTAAACAAACACGAGATGTGCATATTATTCGGAAAACGAATACTCTGCAGAGATCGATTTTTTCTCTTTTTTTTTTTTTGCTCCACTGCATTATCGAGGCTAGAAAACGCGCTTCGGGATTTTCCCGCGCAGCTCGTCGTGTCAGCAGCTCAGCATGTTCCCTCGGACAACACCATAGTTAACGTGAAAAAGAAGATCCGCGACAATGTGTACAACTTTTACGAGGACGGCTTCGCCCTCCGAGAGAGTGAGTGCGAACATATCTTTGGTGTATTTTTTCCTTGCCGCTGTTTGTGTTTTTTTGGGTAGATCGGTCAAACGACATGAATGCAGTCAGCGTCGCTTCAGTAACAATTAGAAAGTGTAAATCCAGTGAAGTAGGCCGGGCTTATGCCAAGCCATGTGCTACTGTTATTACTGCTAGCATACGTTATACACCCACGAGGGTCTCCCACTACGCTGGATTTAAGATCTTCACTAGTTAATGATACAACCACGTGCTCGCACTCTCTCGATATAGATCGTAGAGAATAGTCAGTGCACCTTACGACGCCGCAGCGTGAGCAACGAAGAGAGATTACATCAACTACCGCAAGTGACTCTCGAAAAGTGAATAAACTTTGAATAATTACAAGCTAAACTGTATTTCCGTGCAAGTGTGTAAAAATATGGCCAGCGACGATTTCAATCAATTTTTAATTGCTTTTTCTCATTTCGATTGCTTTCATGAAAATATCGATTCACAGATGAATCAAAAAATACTAAAACAATTGAAGGTCTATCGAGAAAATCACAATTGGGAGAATAAAGAAATGCATGACTCAATTTACGAAACATTTTGTAAATATTTTATATATTATACCATAAATAGGAATGTTGGACTTCCAGACCTCCAAGAGATTTTTCATCGAGAAGAAATTGATTGTTTACTCATGAAGGCCACGGAATACAACTACACCACCTTGGTCAGGTTTGTTATTAGGACAGGATACAAAGACGAGCCTGAGCTCGATGAAGACGGCAAGCCATTGGCATCTCGCACCACACCAGTAAATGTTAGTTTAAGATTCAAGACTCATAATCGGGATATCCTGATCCGTGATCTTTTTAGAATATACAACAGATTTGATGTGAATTACACCGACGAATCTGGAGTATCACACTTTCACGTGGCCTGCATGGCTGGCTGTCTCTACGTCGTCAAACAATTATTCAAGTTAGTGCGGGATCCCAATTTCCCCGTGCAAGAAACAGGCGATTCCCCGCTGCATTTGGCCCTGCGCTACTACCAGAAGAAGGTGGCCGAATGGCTGCTGAGAAAAGGCGCCAGTCCTACTTTAGTGAATTCAAAGGGGTTGACTCCCCTGCACGTGATTTGTGGGAGAATCGATGACGTCGATTTGGCGGAGATGTTATTCAAGTTCGCCAACGACAAACATCAGCCGATAAATATCAATGCTCAGGACAAGTTTGGGGACACACCATTGCACTTGGCTCTGAGGAGAGGACGCGACAAGGTTGCCGAGTGGTTGCTGAGAAAAGGTGCAGATCCGAATGTGGCCAACGTTCAAGGATTGACTCCTCTTCATGTGATTTGTAAGAGAAACAAGGATGACGGCTTGCTGGAGAAATTCTTTAAGACAAACAACGAAAAACATAAAATGTTGCAGGTCGACGCTTTAGACAAGTTGGGCCGGACACCTCTTCAATGGGCCGTGACAAGATTCTTGCCGGGTGCGGTCGAGAGTTTGATGAATAATGGTGCTGATATATCTTGCTTCGTTTTTCCAACTGAGAGTCACTTCGATGAGGGATTAACAAAGGAGGAGACTGAAGGGTGGTACAGTTTGAAACTGACAGTAGCTTCGGGTTCTTTGGCCGTTGTCGAATGTCTGGAGAATGGAGGATATGAGCTGACCCGAAGCGACGCCTTGACCATTATGAAATTATTCGCCAAGTATGGATTGTTCAATGAGTTGTCGTATGTTTTTCAAGATTCGCCTAACGACGAAGACTACTTAAGTATGGCAAAAAGAACGATGGTAATTCCGAGTCTGTCACTCTACGACCTGACTCGGTTACGTCCCAAAGATGCGTCAAAATTACTCACATATCAGGACTACTTGGATTTGTCACGTACAAGATACTTACAGAAATTCTGTAGGTATCATGAGGATTTTCAACTACATTTGTGTGAGAAACTGTCGAGAGGATTTTTCCGAGTCTGGGCACTGGAATGTTTTATGGAGCTGACGCAATGTCGAATGCCAATTGAGTGCTGTGAAATGATCATCGATGAATCATTCCCGAACAAAGACTCATACGATATTTGCTTGGCAGCAACAGGACAAAGTTTGTGATAGCGATCAGCGCAAGTTATTTTTAATGCCTATTCGCGGTGTGCACGTGGATGACGGGGATACCAGTGCTAGCATCGATTTTAACGTGTGCTCTTATGAAAATGACTTCCATGTATGCCAGCGGCGCTCACCGAACTAAATTTCTCCTCATAAGAAATAACTTGGGAAATGCTTCCAAAGTGCAATTATTTTAATGTTACATAATTTTACATATTATTTAAATAAATAAATTTTAATAAGTCAAACGTATTTATTCATACATTGGTTAAAAAAAACATGATTGGAAATGCATACACAAGTGGACGAAGCATATTTCACAGTCACACACCTATATTAATATCAATTCACAACTTTATATAAAAATTCAACTTGAATTATTAAAAACTAGTTGAAAACTACAATTTAATAGAAAATTCAATTGTTCAGAATTGATTTTTCAACATTATTCATTCATTTATGTTCTTTGTTTATATTTCTAATAATTATTCGAATTTCCAATTCACATAATTTTACAAGAGCTTATAATTACAAGTTAATTATTTATATTACAAACATTTTTTCATAAAAACTCTTACAAATGGCCAATTCTCCGTGAAGTCAAACGGTGCAAAAAAAATTTTTTCTGCAAATATGAAAAATTTGTTGTTTCCGATGTCAGAAATGTCTCAAAAAAATTTTTGGAAAAATTGAGATCTTTTATGACACTTTTTCAAAGGTCATTTTAGCATTTTTTCCGAAATTCATTAAAAATCACAAATATTTAAATAGTTTCTAGATCAGTGTAGAATGACTCAAATGTAAAAGTTCCAATGAGCTTTTATGTTGAAAATTGTCCAAATTTCAGAAAAAATGCATTCCTAAGTTATTGGAGCAATCTGGGAGCTTGTGGAGTCGTAATAACTTGACAAAAACAAATGACACGAAATTTAATCGAGTTTGATTCGGACTTTCGTTTCCAAAATCATTTAAAAAGATGCTGAAGATGTTAATTACTGCCTGATAAAGTTTTGTAATGGGCTTCAAAGTAATGCACTGTAGACAACAATTAGTATCGAAAAACGGGCAAAAAACATCGAAAAAAGGCCCAAAATGTAGTACAATTAGTATGAAGGAATTTTTTTTGTGTTAATTGTCCAAATTTTCTAAAAACAACTATTCCAAAGTCATCAGATCACTCTAGAGGCTTGTATAATAGTAAGAAATACAAAACTCAAAGCTTAATCAAATGTGATCTAGACTTTCATCTCCAAAGACATTCGCAAAGCTTTCTCAAGATATCTAATATCGCCTCATAAATTATTGTAATTGTATTATTTTTTTAGAGATATCAATAACGTTCAGATAATGTGCAAAAAACCTCGAAAATGGGCTAGTTTCTACTTTTTGGAGAGCAAAAGAGCTCTCATGTACTTTTTCAATCAAGTCATTTTATACATGTACTAAGCTAATCGAAAAAATATCAACTTAGGAAAAAATTTTATCGAAATTCCAGGACATTTTCAACTTGCCAAAAAAATTTGATCGTTGACTTGACAGAGAGTCGGCCACATTTTGAGTTAACCCATTAAATCCCAAGAGGACGTTCCTTCGCCATTTTTTTCGGCTACTATATTTTCGGTAAAAATGAGGCCAAAAAATATGTGAGTAACAAATTCTAACGTAGAATTTAATGCCTTTTCAGAAGTTAACCTCAGATATTCGAAATAATGATAAAGTCAAAAGTTATAATCCTTAATTTTATTTAAAAAAAAGGGGGTTTTAAAAAAAGAATTTCAATTTTTCAATTTTCCAAATGGAAAACATGTGAAATCTCATGGTTTTCGAGCAAATATCGGTTTTTCAATGCCTAAACTAAAAGTTATAGTTGTTTAGATTAGAGAAAATAAAGTTTAATCATCAAATTTTATTGAAAAAAACATGCTTCAAACATGTATGAATTTTTCAGAATTTTTGAATCGATTTTTAGATATGATCTGGTTTTTAGTTAAAAGTTCTAGAATTTTTTTTTCATCTTTCCGTGTTTTGATCGACATTTTTTATGTTTAAACTTTATTTTTTCCAATCTAAACCACGATAACTTTTAGTTTAGGCATTGAGGAACCGATATATGCATAAAAGCCATTAGATTTCATATGGTTTCCATTTGGAAAATTGAAAAATTGAAATTCTTTTCTTAAAACCCCCTTTTTTTATATAAAATCTAGTATATCTTTTGACTTAATCATTATTTCGAAACTCTGAAGTTAAATTTTAAAAGGGCATTATACATAACATTGAAATTGGTATACTCGAATATTTTTTTATCCCATTTTCACCAAAAATACAGTGTCCGAAAAAAGTAGCGAAAAAACGTCCTCTTGGGATTAGATGGATTAAAGTTACAATGGTAGTCTCATCTTGATTTCGAACGATTTACTATTCATCATCAAAACGTCATTGTACAACACGCAGAGCTAAAGCTTGGCTTCATCAATCATCCCCCCGGACGAGCAGAGAAAGTCATTGACTGCGCGACTAGATCTCGACTTGCACCGACTTTGCTATATTCACCAGTCGTGGAATTGATCATTTTGAACAAGCTTAACTGCTGCTAAACTGCGCTAAAGTGTCGGACTACCGGTGCCCACTCGCTGGCGCTGCATTAAACTTGCGGCGCATATTTTTGCTGAGTGCTGCTGCCACTGTTGCCTGCTGTACTGGAGTTGTTGCAAGCCACAGGCGAGTAGTGAAAAATCTCTACAGTTTTATCATCATGGACTGATGTGATCTTTCGCCGCTGCTAAATAATACACTATAGATATAAGAGGTATATAGGACTTCATCCGGTACAGAAGACTGAGTGATCTTTTCGGAGTGGTTTTTCTTACGACTGAGGGGACCGACCGAGAGAGGCTTCAACATGGTGCGCCAGGACATCCTTGTGTTGTTGATTGTATCGTTCATTGGCCATACCCTGGCCTCCTATGCAAACGACGATGTCATGTACGTTGAACTCGACGAGCAACCGGAGGTTAGATGGATTGTCGACAAGTACAATGATAATGTTGACAGCTCGCATCAGCAGCTAGACGAACTTATAGGAAACCATTTAAGAAGAAAAAGATCCATAGTGAAGGCTGTAGTGTCAATAACAGATTCATTTTCTAAAATTCAACCCATTTCGTGCCAGGATAAACTTAAAAAATTGTGCGGTGTCGCTAATAAAAATATGGATGATTTGTTTTATTTAGAATGTATTCAAACTTTTAAGGTAATTTTTTGCTCGCTTTTTAATCTTTTCGTATTATTTTTAGCTGTCAATGATATTTTTTGTTTACATCATAATAATCTAACAAGTGTTGTTGGTATTATTGTAAAATATACTTAATAAGATCAGAAGCAATTGCATTACAATATATTTCATTGAATTTTTCATATTACAGCCAAGTGAAGTAGCTGATATAGATGATGACTGTCAACATTCAGTTTATAATTATATTCGTGATATTACCAAGAATGAAAACATTTATAAAATGACTAAAAGTGAATGTGGAAATGCATTAGAAGATTTAAATTGTCCAATGTCTACACCTGGTTCTTACTTGTTTTGTTTAGTAGAAAAAAGAGATAAAGTTAATGATCTTCAATGTTCAGATTATATTCAAAGACTAGATTGGGTTGTTAATGACTTTAAAATAATAGTAGCATCATTTGTTCCGGAATGTCAAAATGATGTAAATCGTTTCAAATGTGGAAGAATACAACCATATAAAGACATTTTGCAAGGACAAACATTGGCTTGCTTACAACAATATGTTAATAAACTCGAAGTACCATGTAAGAAACAGATCCTTAAAGTTACTGAAATTCAATCTGACAATATCAGACTAGACCGTCAATTATACTTAGCGTGCTTGCAAGATCATATTAAATTTTGTCCTAGCATTAGGCCAGGAAGTGGTTTTGTTTACAAATGCTTGATGCAGCACAAGACTGATCGAACAATGACTAAAGCATGCCAAGATCAGTTAGCTAGGAGAGAAAAACTTATTGCTTCAGATTATAGAGTTAGTAAAGGTCTTGCAAGAGCCTGCAAAGAAGATATTAAAATGCATCATTGTCGCAGAAATGTGCAAGATGATAGAGATATAAAACTGGCTCAAATTTTATTATGTTTAGAATCAGCTGTTAAAAATGGCAGCAAAGTAGCTCCAGAATGTCAAGTAGAGATGTTTGATCATAGAAAAATACTCATGGAAGATTATAGATTATCCCCAGAAATAGTAAACAATTGTGCTAAGGATATTAAAAACTTTTGTAATAATGGTGTTGGAGGTTCTACAATTCATTGTTTGATGGAGTATACAAGAGTAGGAAGAAAAAGAAAAGCCAGGGTCTCCACTATGTGCCAAAGAGCTGTAAGTTTATTAACATGATTATTATTTTTCATATGTATTTAAAAAATGTTGTTTGCAGCTGGAAGATTTGATCAGAGAAACAGACGCTGGAGAAGATTGGCGAGTAGATCCTGTTTTAAGAGAAGCTTGCCAATCAGTAGTGGATGTAGCTTGTAAAGATGTAGGTTTTAGTTTGGGTTTTCTTGTAGTGTTTGAAAAAAAAAATGTTATCCATCTCTAATTCTTTTAAGGTTCAAGGAGGAAATGCCAGAATCATATCTTGTCTCATGGATAAACTAGGAACTGATAGAATGACTGAATCATGTGCAACAGCTCTTGTTCAAATTCAATATTTCATTGCAAGAGATTTCAAGCTTGACCCACAACTGTACAGAACTTGTAGAGCAGATGCAGTGCACTTCTGCCATGCTAGTAATACTTGGGCAAATGATGGTACACAAATTGACGCAGAAAGAGGTCCTCTTGTGTTACCTTGTTTGTACAGATATGCCTATCATCCACAAAAAAATATGACGGTACAGTTTTTTTAAATAGTTGTTTAAACAATAACAGAGTATTTAATAAAATTATAAAATCAATGATGGTTTTAGCTTAAGAAATCTTGTTTGGATGAAATTAAACGAGTCATGAGACAAAGAGCCATTAATGTTGATCTTCAACCAGAAATTGAAGAAGTATGCTTGGATGATTTAGCATCATTTTGTTTCGATAAAACTGCAAAAGGTGAAGAGATCTTGTGTCTACAAGATAATATTGATAGGTAAATATCAAATATATTCTTAAAAATTAATATAATAAATTGACAAACAAATACTTACTTTAATGTATTTATGTTTAAGCTTGAATCAACAATGCAAATTAGCAGTAGGAAATTTTACTGAAGAGCAAGCTCAAAGAGTTGAATTAAATCCTATTATAATGAATGCTTGCAGGCATATTATGGAAAAACATTGTGATGTATATATTATTTTATAAATGTATTGTTTTATAACGTTTATCAAAGAGTCTAAAATAATTGTTGGATTTCAGGAAATTCAACAGTTTGGTAAAGATGATGGAGATATGATGGAATGTTTAATTGAACATAAAAATGATTTAGATTCTCGTACTGATAGCAAATGTAAAGCTGCTGTTGAACATTTTCAATTGATATCTCTTAAAAATTATCACTTTACTTATAAATTTAAAGAAGCTTGTCGACCCATGGTTACCAGATGGTGCAAACAGTAAGTATGCATATTTAAGAAAATTTTTATTAATGTACATATCTTAATTTAATTACTATTTTTTAGAGCAAAAACAAAGTCTGAAGTTATTGCTTGTCTAAGTGATATTGTACAAAAAGATATAATTTATGACTCTCAGCATAAAATAACTAGAGAATGTCGACAACAACTAAAAGCACAGCTTTATCAACAGAGAGAAAACATAAAGTTTGATCCAAAATTGCATAAAACATGTGAAAAAGAAATAGGTTTATTATGTTCCAATGTTGAACCTGGCAATTCTCAAGTACTCGAATGTTTAGCATCTCATAAAGCCAAATTAGGCGTAGAGTGTCATGCTCAGTTATTCAAAGTGAGGAAACAAGAGTTCCAAGATAGTTCTGTCGATTTCGCTCTCATGCATGCTTGCCACCCAATGGTGAGACAATTTTGTCGTGGCACAGATCGATCACAAACTTTGGATTGCTTGAAACGTTTTAAAGACGATTCAATGTTTGATGATAAATGTCGATCATTTGTTATGAACAGAATGGCTGAACAGAACACTGATTATCGATTTAATACAGCCTTACAGTCAGCATGCTCAAATGATATAAACAAACATTGTATGTATGTAAGTATCAAAACTGAAAAAATTGTTTTACATAAATATTTGATATCTGCATTGAAATAATATTGATTTTTTTAGTATATAAAACATCAACCTCAAAATAAAGAATTGGAAGGCATAGTGATAGGATGTTTAAAAAGTAAATTTAAAGAATCAAAACTTACCACAAAATGTGAAAGACAAATGGAAACTATTTTAAGAGAAGCTGCTTTGAATTATCATTTAAACCCTTTGATAGCTGCCCTTTGTGCTGAGGAGGTAATAAAGTTCAATATTTTCTTTAAAATTGAATGCTCTACATTAAATTGCATTTTTTCAGATCGACAAACTATGTAAAGCCGACGAAAATAATTCCCCAGGCAAAGTCGAAGAATGTTTGAAAAACAAGTTCACTGCTGATGATAAAGATATGAAAGAAGCATGTCGTATTCAAGTAGCTGAAATGATTGAAGAAGCCAAAGCCGACATAAATGTGGATCCACTGTTGCAAAAAGCATGCGCCGTTGATGTTAGCAAGTATTGCGGTTTTGTAATACAAGGTGCTGGAAGACGTGAGTATTTTTATAAATCAAAAATATAAAACATTTATTTACTTTTTTTGAATTGAATTTTTTTTTCTTTAGATATTAAATGTCTGCAGAATGTATTAAAAGACAATGAGAAAACGTTGCAACCAGATTGTTATAAAATGTTAACTACAAGAATTGAGATGTTTAAAAATGCTGATAAGGTATAATTTTTCGACTTGAGTACTAGTTATCACAGTTCTAATGTTTCCTTTTTTGTTTTTAGCTTGCAGCCCCAGAAACTTTTGAGGAACTCTACGATTCTGTCAACCGTTCACCAGCCAGGCGCTATTTCCTCGTACTAGCCTTCACTGTGATTGGGTTCATATTTATCGCGGGATTGTCTTGCGGTCGAGTATCTCGACGCACTATGCTTATGAAGAATAAGTGATAGGTCATTTAAATAATGTTATCAAAAAAGACTATGTGCATATTTTGATAAAGCCTTTAATCTGTGATCGGCTGAAAAATATGGCAATTTTACTTTTAGTTCATCTATTTGTTTGTATCGTTTAAATTACTCAGTAAGCAGGCTTTAAGATAGATGTAATCCTTTTTTTAGTATCAGTACTGAGTCATTTTAGTTGTAAATGCAAAAAACATCTTGTAGTTTTTTTACGCTCGACCGAGTGATATGAGTTGAATGTTATTGAATTTTTTATCATTAAGCAGAGATGATGAAAAATTTAAATTTTGTCAAATTATGTATAAATAGTGCTCAGATAAATTTATATGTGCAGTGTTTTATGTCAAATGATTTAAGCTTATTGCTCAAAGAGTATTCATACTGCCAAAAAAATGACAAGTCCACGTTTCTGCTCGATTTACACGTATTTATATAAAAATTATTATATATCTATGAATTATATATTCAATTTTTTTGTTGTATCAAAACTTTGAGAGGTATATATTTAAAACAATTGATTTGAAATTCTATTTAATGCAATGGTAAATTATTATTAAAGGAATAGTGCAAACGTTTGTAATATAAGAAAATTTTGATGTAAATTTTTATGGTTAATGTAGAATAAGATAGCCATATACGATAAGCTCGATGTTTACGGTGACATTTACAATTAGATACCTAAAATAAATAATCGTTGATAAAAACGATTTTTTTATACTTAAATAAATTTATTGAACCAATGGTTATAAAATGCTGAAACTTGTGATACATCAATTTGTGTATAAAATAAAAATAAATTCTTTTACAATAATACAAGTACTTTTTAACTTGATTTCTACTTTTCTACGACATAAAAATGATATTCTTTCGAGTATTCTCCATTATAGAAGTTTTCTCTTTGTTAAAATGTACTCTTTAAAATTTTCAAATAAAATTTCATGCTTTTGTATTTTATTCGAGCAAAAAAATTCGGATCGATGAATATAGATTTGGTAGTTATAGGTAGTTGTAATTAATTTATTCGGTAAAGTGGATTCACTTATTGGCGAATTGTTTTCGATAGCTCGCCGTTGAATAGGTGCATTAGTCAAGCCGCAATCGAGCCCGCATATTATCGCTTATAATAAAGTAAACTATAAAGAGATGAAGGAGCATTGCAGCCTCGTAATCTCATTGACGAAGATTTTTGCATAGATTATTTTATCAAGCGCAAGTAGGTCAAGCGGGAGAAAAATCTCTCGTTCCAAGTGGTGCGCGAAGTTTGTCTCATTCGATTATATCACTCATAAAAACATGCAAAGGTCCATTGACTCTTGAGTCGTGTGAGGCTCTTTGCGTTGTGCGTTATGTGTTGTTGGGCCGCCCGAGCCTCGTGTGACTGCCACGCAGTATATCGCGTCAGTTTCATTGACAAGGTGAGCGGCTATAGCAACGCGGCGAGTGTTTTAATTGTGGAAGATTATAAAAATAATTATCGGGGATACGCGCGGATTTGTCCGATAGATGGAAAAGGTTGCGAGTTTTTCCGGCCTTGCGTATTTTCATCGTCAATCGAGCGAGAGCGCCTTGAATTACGCACGTAGGTGCAGTAGCTATATCGCCTCGACGAGAGGTGGGAATCTCTCGATCGAGGAAATTCGTTTTTATATCGCAGTGGGTAGCGAGCCAATAAAATTAAGCACGAGCGACTAGGCGCAACGAGAAAATGCTAATTCGCGCATCGGCTCAGAAAGATGAGCTGCAGCGGCAGGTGCAGCTATTTTTGGCCGCCTATGGAAGGTAAATTACCGAGAGCCGCCGCGCGACACTTACTCGAGAGCACGTGCATACGCGATATTTCTCGGGGAATATCTTGTGCGCTTTGGATACGCGTCCGTGTATAAAGGTGTTACGCGTCGATTGTACGAGCCGAAACTTTATACGCGTTTTATTGTCGAGGCGCGAGTTGCGTACTTGTAAGTTCTCGTGGCCCATAATCTCCTCTCACACACACACACGCACTTTTCTCGACTTGGCCCCTCCAATAATGTAATAATGCTCTATTATTACGTCGCTTGGGACCTTTTCTTCTTCGGATGCTTTTTTTGCCACGTACAGTACAGGTATAATATATAGTCGAGCTCGTGCAACCGAAGCACAATGCATGCGTGGCGCATGGCTACATATAGTAGAAAAGGAGTGACGTTCATTCATTGTGCAATTAATTATTACGATGACGCAATCTCGCTTTGGAGCCTTCGCATGCACCATAGGCGCAGGGTGGCAAGTTCATGCGTAAATTCAATTATAAACTGATCCGATCGTGATCAGCGCTACAGAGACGCAGGTCACGCAGAGCTTTAACTCTCTATACTTTTATTTTCGAGGCAATTAATAGGCCCGATCGGGGAAAAAATTCCTTTCTAATATCGTACGGATGGAGATTTAATAACTATAGATGTAAGCCGTTATCGGTAAAAAGTTTATTGCGCGCGTGGAGCTCTGCGCGGCTGATTTTCTCAGCGATCTGCTAGAGCAGCGTCGGCTTTACGTCAGTGTGTGTGCGTGCCTGCCTGCGTCTATAATATCGCACTCACAATGGGAAGCTAGCAAATTTATTCTCGGCTCCATATAGGTATAGCTCCGTGTAGGTATAGCTACCTATTGTGTACGCAACGCGTTCCGGAGCAGAAATCGATCTCGAAAAAGCCCAACTTACAAAAAAGGCCTCGTTCGGAACGAAAAAAGGAGCTCGAAATTGCGATACTATGGGCCTTTGCATATCGTTGGGAAGAAGAAGAAAAAAAGGCTACAGTGAGTTGAACAAAGCGTTGGATCGGATTCGATCGTTCAGCAGGTGTCGGAAATTTCTCATCTTTACGGGGGAACCATTTAAAATTTTCAAAACAATGCCGACGAGTTCACGGGAGATTTTTAACTCTCGAGACGAGCAAAACAAAACAAGTTTAACACGCAGAATCGCGAGAGCCTCTCTGAGCGCAGAATCGCTATCGTACGTGAATAGTAGTAGTAGTAGTAGTCGATCGGCGCGTTCGGCACACTTTTTGCCGATGCTATTAAAACGACTTGTTTATGTTTACGTAACGCTGCTCCTCAGCTCGGTCTCAGCTCTCAATAATTACATATTGGCTGCACGTGTTTGTACGCGCGATCCACATACTTGTGCTCGCAGAGCTCACTGAAAACAGCGATCGAGGGTTCGCGTCAACGCAATGCTTGTTTATACATGTGTATAGGTGCTTGCAGCGTACCTACCATATGCGTGCTATATTGTGCGTTAAAGCCATGAGCCGCACGCGCAAAGCTCGCCGCGGCAGCGATACAAGCACGTGCCACCGCGCCAACATCGTTTGAATCGTCGATCGCATCTGTCTCCCCCCCAACTTGCAGCTGAAGCTCNCCCCCCCCCCCCCCCCCCATCTACTCTCAGACGTGTACGAGATTATAATATACATATACGAGAGTGAATCACGCTCGCGAGGATGGACAAATATTTATAAACGGATTTCCCGAGGAAAATTGCCCAGCCGGTCAAGAGCGCGCGACGCCAACGAGAGAGCGAGCTTATCTGGTGTCGCGAGGGCTTACGTTACAGCTCGCTCCGACTTTTCAGCTGGCGGATCGAATGTCTCTTTGGTAGATCGTTGCTCGTTCGCGCGATCGAATTTGGCTTGTTTGTTTGTTAGCGCACCGCAGTCCGCACTCCGCACGCCCTCGCACGCACGACACAAATTCCATTCGCTCGCCTTATTGTCTGGCTCTCTTTATACACTTTTTTTTTCTGTCGATCTGCGCGCTCGCAGAGTCTCGAGCGGTACAAGAGAGGCCAAAGTGGCGGCTCACATATATCAATGCTCGATACTTTTTTGTACATATATAGGCTTGATTCTCGGGACGGTTCAACGAGCGTTGCGTTTGCCTCTGACGTTCCAACGGCCGAACGGCGGCCAGCGAGTGTTTACCTCTTGACTCGAGAAAAATTAGGAGCACGTTGCGCATCGACGTTCGGCCTGCATATCGTAATGAAGCAATAATCGAGTCCCGCGACAATTTTTCTGCACGTCTCCGTCGTCTCCGTCGTCTTTTATAACGTACAAGCTCGTATCGTATGTGTGTCGCGTCCGTGTGCGCGAGTCTGTATATCGTTGCACTCACACTCTGACGATTATCGCCTCCACGACTGCCGTAACTGGCGTGAGCCGTCGTCGTCGTTTCGGAGTCCCCGACTCTCTCATAGCGAGTCTCTCTGACGTACGTGTGTACGTGTGTGTCACCGCGTGCGTGTGAGTGGCTGTGTGCGTTGCAAGACTGGTGTAGTGCGCGCGTGTGTGAGTGCGCCTCTCCATAGGCAGAGTCAGTGTAGAGCTCTGGCTGCCTACAGCTCTATCTCTCTCGACAGTTGTTTCAGGCCGCGGCGGCTGAGCTGCTGCTGCTGCTGCTGCCCTGCGTAATAAATACACACATATACCCTACTACTTGTATACGTGCAAATGCTCCTCTCGAGTCTCTGCTCGGCGCTCTGTGTATTGTATACGACAGTCTCATAGCGCTGCGCGACTTTGCAGTGTGTTGCATTATCATCGTCGCCGTCGTTCGTCGTCGTCCAACGTCGACGTTATTATACATACACACTTGGAAGCAAAAATAATACCAGTACTGCGAGCTGAGGAACTAGCCGACGAATCGACTCGAGTGCACTGTGTCTCTGTGTCCAAGTGTGCGTCTGTGTATTGCTATGTGTGAGCCGTGCGTGTAATCTATTCGTGCATTTTGCTGCGCTAGTGCTCTGTGGCCTGCTGCTGCTGTTGCTGTTGCTGGTCCGTCGCAGCCGTCGCCGCCGCCACTGATTTCTGTTCTCCTCGGCACATATATACATATTTGCATATACGTATATAAATGCAACGCAGTCGTGTATATGCACGAGCCTACGCGGGCTGTGCATGTGTGTGAGCTGCATCGGGCCAACTTGTAGTGCACGACAGAGTGCGAGATATCGCGAGTCCGGGCCAAAGTGCGCCTCGCGAAATTCTTTTCTACGAGCAAGCTCCGAACGAGAGGCAGCAATTAGGACTCGCAACTACACCGCATCGTCCAGGCCACGGTTCATCCAGGCCCGATGTTTAAATGGACGCTTCGTCCATCATCACCCAGGTCGCACGCGATGATGAGCTAGGACAGTTCAACAACGAAAAATGTACGACTCAATGCTTTTTCCAATTCTCCACTCTCGTTCTTTCGACTCCTTTTATTTTATAGTGCAACTTTCTCTGTATTTTTTGCACTTGGCGCGTTTATCTCTACACCCGATATGCACCTGTTACAGCATTATTTTATCTCTCGCTTTTCTGCCTGGCATACCTAAGAAACAATACGCAAGTACATGTACGCTTATATGGTGAAGACAATTGCGATGATAAGACTTTTGCGAAATCGCTCGAGTTTCAAGCTTTCGCGAGTTATTTTTGCGGAAGGTTAGGTTCTTTTATCTGCATATGTTTTCTCTCTAAGCTGTCTTTAGAAGCACACTGGAAATGATTGTTCAATTTTAAATTTATACTTGTCCAAAAACAATTTTATAACTATTTCTCTTTATTATTATCAAGCCTTGACTTTACTATTCTTGAATACAACACATGCAAAGCTTAATGTTTTCCTTTTTTTTTTTTTTTTTCAACAATTGCATTCACACAAATGCAGTTACCTTGTAGTTCTGTTATCTTTACAATAAATTATCTATATTTTCTTTTTTCTACATCTGTGAACAAGGTATTGGTTATTTGCTTTCTTTTATTCCATCAGTGACCTATGTTTTATTTTATAATTCATGCCTCATTGTCTTAAATGATCTTCATGCTTGATTAGCTGATATGTGTGACATTGTGCTCAGTATGGACATACATTTTTTTTAAATATACTTGATTATGTATAGAAGCATTTTCTTCTGTTACTACCATTACATGTGAATATTTCTTTTTAACTTATTAATTTAAAACCAATTCTTTCAATTTATCTGTAATAAACTGGTACTTAAACTACAACAAATTTTTAAAGCGTGTTTATTTTTTTAATGTTTGAATGCAAAAACTCCTGGAACTAATTATTGTTGACAATTCCTTTCCAAAATAAAAAATATAATTATTTTCAAGCATTACTTTTGATTATATTTCAATATTGTACTATTAAGCATAAAAAATGTTACTTTATTCCTGTAAAATCCATTGAATTACATATTAAAAAGTAATGAATTTTTCAAATTCTTCAAGCCATATTATTATAAAAATATTTAACTTAGTGGTTTTATTTGAAAAATAATGAATTATTAATTTTGTTACAGCCCAAATACCACGCAATGACACGAGTATCAACGGGGCATCGCACCTGGACAAAAAACCACGGGGTCGTGGTTTCTTTCGGTCGATACTTTGTTGCTTCGGCCGAGATGGCCGTACGGGAAGTTCAAAGAGTTCCAAAGCAAGTTCGTTACAAGGTGATGGCCGTTGTTCGCCGCCACCGGGCACAGGTTCGCCACACTTTCTACTGCCACCCATTCGCCATCTGGACATGCACAAAAAATGCATGGTGATAGATCTCGATGAAACGCTTGTGCACAGCTCGTTTAAGCCGATTAATAATGCAGATTTTGTCGTCCCTGTTGAAATTGATGGCACAGTGCATCAAGTTTATGTACTCAAGAGGCCCTATGTTGATGAATTTCTTCAAAGGATGGGGGAATTGTATGAATGTGTACTTTTCACAGCTAGTTTAGCAAAGGTAAACAATTTATTAGTACTTATAATTTAAAGTATTTACAAATCACATCCTTTGTAAATTGTAATGTACAAAAAGCAAAATATATTTTGACAGTCCATTTTTCATATAAGACACATTCTAAAATAATTAATATTTTTTACAGTATGCTGATCCAGTAGCTGATCTCCTTGACAGATGGGGTGTTTTTAGAGCCAGACTATTTCGTGAATCGTGTGTTTTTCATAAAGGCAATTATGTAAAAGATTTGAACAAATTAGGTCGAGATTTGGAAAAAATTATAATTATTGATAATAGTCCTGCCAGTTACATATTTCATCCAGACAATGCAGTAAGCTAATTTCTATTTAATGTGCAATAATATTTCAGCTCAATCTAATATATATTATTTTCCAGGTGCCAGTAGCTTCATGGTTCGACGATATGACTGACTCCGAACTGCTTGATTTGATTCCATTTTTTGAAAAATTGAGCAATGTTGAAAACATTTACAAAGTACTGTCTAACAGTAATCGACCATACAATCAAATGCCTTCAAATATTATGAAGCTTGGCAACAACAGTAACAATGCTACTGGTAATAACAGCAGCAATACCAATAGCGGCAATAACACGTCGAATCAAGGGATCAAATTAGGCGCCTCCTAGCCCAACCTCAAGTCTGGCCGATCACTCGTTACAAATCCGGCCAGTCTTTACGGACAAACCGAGCCACGTTGCATCTTCAGAAGACTCATCGCTGCCTTACACGAGTTAGCACGTAGCTACTCGTTTTTTAGCAGCAGCAACAGTAACAATTGTAACACTGCTAATAATATCATTCAAAATTCCTGATGCTATTTGGCAAAAGGAAATGAAAATGACAACGATCAAAATGGAGGCAGTTTTGCACTGATGATATGAAATTATTTAAGGTTCGCTCGATTTACTGTAATTTTTGTTGTAAAAAATTTGTGTAATTCCGATGGGAATAGCGAATAATAGGTTTATAGTAAAAAAAAAATGTTTTTTTATGTGACGTAATAGTTGAGCTTACAGGAAAAAATCTTGATGTATTTAAACGGAAATCGTCGATTTTTAAATTCAAGCATTATGACTAATTATTTTTTACTAAATGACAATATCAAAGTTAGGAATCGAGCGAGCCGTAAATATTTGGTTGGTTAGGATGTAAAAAAATGAAAAAATTGTATTTTTTTCTCAATTCTGTGCAACGTTAATATTACCCCTGTAGTAAAAAAAATGAAGAGGTAAAATAGTAGTGTTAAGTATCGACATGACTTTATAGTGCTTGTATGGTATGTAAGTTCTGCTAACTCGAACGAAAAGAGTATTATGTGTCAATATTGAATTTACAGAAATGTGCTACATAATCGATATTTAAAATGATGAAATTAAATTATCACCGCCGGGTTTCCGATGAATATAATGAATAATTATTATTATTTATCATCATTATTGTAACTATAATTATAAATATGAAAAATATCGGTTGATTAAGGTTGATCGAATCTTCCAGAATGCAGAAAATTATTGTTAATAATTAATTAAAAATATGCTGAGCAAATGTGACATGAGCTCTCCTCGGTACGTCCGCAAGAATGCGAATAAAAATATAAGTAATAATCAAGTATCGCAATAATACGAATTTCCAGTGATTATATTCATTGAACTTATTAAAAAGAGTACTTTATTTTTTATTAAGATTAATTAAAAATAGAAAAAATTGGAATAAAAATAACAATTTATGAGTGAATTATGCAAAAAAAATTATTAAATAGTGTGCAAGAGAATAAAACATATTTTTTTTAAATTATTCTTCTAATTTGTAGGATAAAAATTATCAATGTTTTTTTTATCGATTTTTCGAAAAAATCGCAAGAGTTTGCTATTTTTATATAATAAAACACAATGGTTTGTTGCTAAAATGAGGCGCTGATTTATGAATTGTATATTTACATTATGCAGAACATGATGACTCTTTAAAAGCTATTTAAATACTTACTACTTTAATTTTATTTTCAACTTTTAACTTCATGGGTTTTGCATTAAATATGACGAGACTAATCGCTTCTTTATTGTCAATTTAAGAATTTATAAAAAAACAAAGTTTCCGTCTACCGTAAACAATGGTAGTATCGGATGCAGTAGTCATAAAAGCTTTAGTATTGGTGCGAAATTTCGTCGTTATCATTGAATAATATAGAGTGTATCATTTGCGTTTATGAGAAAAAGTATTTTTTGTTGTTCTCTAAAATGAAAGTTTATTTTATAATTTTTAAATCCATTTAAAAAATAATTGGTTTTTCAAACAAAATTAACTAAAGTATTTAATGTTTTCTATAGAATGAAAAAGTAGGTAAACGAAACAATTTTTTGAACCATTGTATTGTTGACTATATCATGTTACATAAATATCATAATTGTGATTACATGTCATAATTCTAATCTACTGCCAAACAAAAAATTGGAACAAATATCACAGAAATCCTTTGTATACTTGTACAATATTATGTACCTTATACGGGTTTGATACTGAAAAGAGCAAAAATTAATAAATTTTTACAGTAGAACTATTTGTTAAAAATCGAATAACCGCAAAAATTAATGAACGTAACTCTAACGCTTTGAATCTATTGTATAAATATCAAATTTTTGCGGATTACAAGTATGCAAAATATGAGGCGAAACAGACTTGAGTCAAATATTGTCTATGAGATTTTGAAAAAATCAAACGCATAAGTATCAAGTTTTTTTTGTTTTGTTTTAATCACAACATTTCTACAATAAACTTATTTTTCACATAAAAATAAAGGAATTAAAATGAAAAACTGAAGTCCAACATTTTACAACTTTTTAGTAACTTGGTAAGAATGTTGAAATATATATTATAAAATAAAATAAAAACGTGCCTTTTACGAAAGTCGGCGTGATTGCCAAATACTTTATTTAATTGTTTTTGAAAATAATAATGTAAATTAGTATATGAGCGCGTCCAGCATAAGTCGGCCACCCCGCGCGATTGCGGCATTTTTGGCCGAAAGTGTCGTATGTTTAGCTCGCTCGGAAACGTTTACCAAAAGTCAAAAAAAAAATCCAAACACATAGATCGATAGATTTTTTCCTCCTCTTTCTAGTGGTGTAACTCAAAAAATTCTTAAAAATTTATTTTGAGGTTAAAACTCGACTTGAATGTTCAAGTCGATTTATCCAAAAAATGTATCCTCCGATTTCAATTTAAACTGCACCAATCGAAAGAGGAGGCAAAAATCTATCGAAAACCATGTTTTCCAGGATGGAGAAATGATAAGAAGTATTAAAGATATCGAGATGAATAGCGCGGGACGGCGCGCGCGGACCTGTTTTCATGCCTTTGTCTTTTCGACTCGCTAAAAAAATGCTGAAAAAATAATTTAAACACGTAAATCGATAGATTTTTTCCTTTTCTTTTGATTGGTAATATTAATTTTGAGGTCAAAATTGAAATACTAGAAGAAATATTGACTTAAAAATTCAAGTCAAGTTTTGACGATGAAAAAAATTTTTAGGAATTTTTTCAATAACACCATCAGAAAGAGGAGAAAAAAATCTATCGAATTACGTGTTAACGTTATTTTTCCAGCATTTTTTAAGCGATTACGAGCGAGTCGAAAAGACAAAGACACGGCGCCGCGCGTGTGCCGCCGCTGGCGCACGGAAAACAGGTCCGCGCGCGCCGTCCCGCGCTATTCATCTCGATATTTTTAATACTTCTTATCATTTCTCCATCCTGGAAAACATGGTTTTCGATAGATTTTTGCCTCCTCTTTCGATTGGTGCAGTTTATTTTGCAATCGGAGGATACATTTTTTGGATAAATCGACTTGAACATTCAAGTCGAGTTTTAACCTCAAAATAAATTTTTAAGAATTTTTTGAGTTACACCACTAGAAAGAGGAGGAAAAAATCTATCGATCTATGTGTTTGGATTTTTTTTTTGACTTTTGGTAAACGTTTCCGAGCGAGCTAAACATACGACACTTTCGGCCAAAAATGCCGCAATCGCGCGGGGTGGCCGACTTATGCTGGACGCGCTCATATATCTATACATACAGTAACATAATGTAGGATACTAACATATATATATGTAATTATATTTAATCACATTATAATGGCACTGATGGAACTAAACTACTAGAATGTAATGCCTCTCTTAAATACAAAATGTATGATGTATATAAAATATTAGTAATCGAGTATATTTTTATTCGATTAAATTATCGGAACTTAGAAATTCCGCAAATTATATATTGATCAACATATTTGTATTTTTTTAATTTACACAGCCGGCAACAAGAGCTATTGTGTTTAATAATTAAGCCTCTCTTGCGAAGTTTTCGTCACATACACTGGTCAATAAAAACCATTAAAAAAACAAAAAACAGATGTGAATATGCAAACACTAGTGCTGCAAAAAGTATTCAAAGCTTACTAGCCTCGCATCGGTAATCTTATATTGTGTGAAAATGCGTTCTCTGGTGTTGTACGTGTTGAGATAATTATATAAATATGTCTAGATTTGCGACTGTTATTACGGTGTCATTTGCGGGTTTATTTATTATTCGTCGTGTTAATCCTTGTATCAGCCATTGAAGTATCACGTGCTATTTATATGAATTTACAAAAAAAAGTGGAAGAGATTATATTGGAAAATCAGTTCGAATTTCGCTTAATTTTGTGAATACATTTATCGTAAAAAAATATAAAATATACTAGATAGCCAAAAAGTGGATAGTCCACTTCGTGCAATTTTAATTTTTGTTTTTATTATCACGTAATTTAGTTTCTTCACAAGTAAAAGAAAAGAGCGGAAAAATATGTTAAATCTGGCTGTGTCTCAAACTAATACACAAAAAAACACATTTGTAAATCTTCTTAAGAAAAACGAGCATTAAACTCTGTATTTAAATCGTACCGATGCAAACTACTTGCATTTGAAGTTGTACAGGAAAACGTGATTATAAATTATTAACTTGAATAAATGAATTCGAGCCTATTTTTATCTAACTTAAACAGCAGTTCCTATAATCAAGTTATTTCATTAAAATTCATGGAAAATTTGTTTTATCTTGCAATAGAATATGTCGATTAAAAACTCTGTTTCGAGCTCAATTAATGGAAATAGATTTGAAAATATAAACAAAAATATTCACGCATAAAAATATGGTATATATTTTTAATAAAATATAAAATAAAATTATACAATAGTATTGTGCATATTCGTAAGAGTAATAAATATCGAATCTTCAATGTAATATGCATATTACATTCATAAAATTATGTATCTCTGTATAAAGATAACGTTACGGTCGTCAGATGAAGAGTATCCATTCTCTCGTTGGTTACCAATTGAGTTAAACATTTAGCGCATTTGATCGACTTCCATTGAGCGCATTATGTATAAAACTCAAAAGCGCAGGAAACTTTTTAAAAGAAAAAATTGTAAACTTAATATCAATAGCTAGCGCTTTTTACAACTTACTTGTCAGTAAAACTACAGACGCATACGAATAAATATTTTAAATAACATGAAAATGCTTGCGATTCTCATGCAAGCGTAAAGAAATTGAATGTTTGAATGAATTGATGAAATAGAGGGGAGGGGGGCAAATATTTTTAGCCGAATAAAGCAAAACTTATATACATGTAAAAAAATATATATACGATGAGCAGAGATGGATATTATTTAGAGCGTTATATTGTATTAGATAATGCCGTTTATCTGACGGTGCTTTTATATAAACACATATTATATACATTTAGACACACATACTTGAATAAATGCATACAAATGTATGTATATAATATTTAAAAAATAATGCAGTTTTAAGACAGATTTTAAGTAATGATAAATGGAAATTTCCATGAACATTAAAAGATGTAAGCTCAGACACTTGAATCATAAAAAAAGTAATTTTATTTTGATTGTTGGTCGGAAAAAAAGACAATGTATTATTAGTTTTTTTCTCGATTTGGAAAAATATATATAAATACTCAAGTGTAGAGTTTGATTTCATACATAAATAGAAAAATATTTCCGTGTGCCCTTCGTAGTGAGGATAACATATAAATATTGTACAAGCGATGCAATAATTGTCGCGATATAAAAGATGAAAGAGCATGTGAGTCGAAAAAATGAAAATCGAAGTCTACATTTTCTGGTGTTTAAAAATTTTTTGATTGATCAAGTGCAAGTGTGTGAACTTTAACAATCTTTGTTTTTTTGTACTGTGCTGTATCCTTATAACTAGACTATAAATATTGTATAGGTTGCTTATATGTCAGTGATTGAAAAATGATAATAGTGATTCATGCACAAATTAAGTTGTAACGTTAATTTAAAATATAGTCTATTTCTAAGGTAACAGCGCAATTGAAGAGGTGAAGAAATAACGCATAAATTGGAGGAATATAACATTGCCTTGAGTATAACGTGTAAATAACCAGGATTGTACGCGAGCGAATCTGGATAAAAATGAAGGATTATTATAATTTAAATTATAACGATTATAAAAGAAGTGTGCCACCTTACAGAAAAAAATATACACTTGAAAATAAATCCATGATAGCTGGCATAGGATTAAAATATATACTATAATTGTAAAATGTAAAATGCGATTGTTTCGGACGTTAATAATTTTGATGCTCGTCAGTATCTCACAAAAATTTGCGGAAATTTTTCTATATAAAATTGAAATGTATTGCGAATCTTTTTGTATGATTAGTAAAAAAGCACGTACGATTTTGTAATACTTGAATTCTTGTACATTTTGAATGTCAAATTTGTAAGAAAAAAAATGGCATTGAAGCACAGAGACAGGTGCCACAATTTTTTCAGTCGCAAAAAATAAAAATAACATTGAGTGTAGCAACAAAATAAATTGATTGAAAATGTTTGATCTGAGAGAAAATGCGGATTGTGTGTGATTAACATCTCCCACCCTCTGATTGTCCAGTTTGCTCTGTGATTCTGTGTTTAATACAAAAATATATCTATGTTTGATACAATTGCTCTCAAATTTTCTTTAATAACCATATCTTTCTTGAAGTTGAAAATTTTGAACTCGTCCATTTTCAAGTCATCTTGCCGCCAAAAGAATACAAGATTCGCGACTCGCAAGTTGGCCAAAGGAGGGGAAAGTCGCGCGCGCGCCGCAGAATATGAATGCATAACACATCTGCAAAGCCATAATTCCCCCATACATATATACAAGCATGATGTATGTGTATTAGAGGCATAAAAGATTCGCAAGAGAGATGACCTGTCTAGCGGCGATAAAATCCCAGTAACAAATATCACATTGTGAACGGATATATAATATAGGTGCACAGCTATATATGGCTCGAGGGGGAAATTTGTCTCCTTTCTCCTGAACTACATCATTAGGCCTCACGTTTTTACGGGAAAAAAGTCAGCGAGCCAATATCGTTGCATCGCGCGTGAACCGGCAATATCAATCATCGGCGCACTACATCGATAAACGCATATAACGTTGACTCCTACCTACACACGCATATACACACGTAAAAGGTGCAGACTGCCTTTTTGCAGTACCTATATACTATAGCCAAGAAAAGTATGGACGACGTTTAGCAATTGAAAGAGAAGAAGCTACATTCTTACTAGAGTGCTTATTGTGTTGATTGGAACCACTCTCCGTCTTTTCTAATTCCAAGCCAAAATTGTTTCTTTGAATAAATTTGTTATACTACTGGCCAAACACTTGAATTGTGCGTACACCGTATCGTGCGCTTATACGTAGACATTTGTACGATTAATAAAATAGGCAAGAAAGATGCCGCGCGTCAAAGGATCTCCGAAAAAACTTGCCAAAACTGGCAATGCCAATACATGGATATTTCTAATGAAAGGTAATCAATTGATGATCATTAGTTACAAAGATGTCATTAGTTACAATTGACATTAATTACTTTTTTCATTTAGGTGAGAGCTTGGAAAGTTCAGAGGGTATTCATCCTAACATGGTAAAGCTTAGACATCCAGCAACCAATCAGTCATCAATGTTTGTATTCAGTACTGGGGACACAACTGTTCAGGAAGTAATGACATTTGATGAAAACAAGCGATCCTGGTTTATCAATGATACCGTAAGATCAGATGGGAAAATGCATCTTTCAACACCAATCGATCCAATTTTTTTAATTTTGCCATATTTGAGAAAGGTACATTTGATTCATATTTAAATTATTGTTTGATATTTTAAAATCATAATTGTTCAACTTGATTTTACAGTCACAACAAGTTATGCCTCTAGAACATGTACTCCAAGACGAAGACTACCCTGAAACAATTCGGTTGTTGAAATGTCAAAATATTAAACTATCTCTAATAGCAGATAGAAAAGGAGATGAATCTCTCCAAGCTTATAAATTCAATGAAGACAAAACTTTGAATTGGTTAAAAAAAAAAGTTGAAAAAGTTGCAATAATATGTAGGCAAAAAGGCATCCATGTATCTCAAGGAGCAATAAGTGCCAATTATGTGAAAAGTAGCAAATATGAAGGTGGAACTGACACAGGTGAAAATGAATGGACAAATATATAGATATTTATTTTTTTAGCATGACTAAAATATAAATTTTTTTTCTTAGAGTACTTAAAGTATGCTCATGGTATAGTTTCTGAATATTTAGCCGAAGATTTGTCAAAAAAACTGTTTCAGTATCTAAATTTACAAGATGAAACAGAAAATAAAAAGAGGAAGCTATCTAGTCCAGTGAAAAATCCTCCTGATGAGAAAAGAATTAAAAAAGATAAAATTGAAAAAAAAGAAGAGGAGGAAATGCCTAAAGGAGGAGCCCTTGATTTGACTAAATCAGAAAAGGTTTGCTCATGGTTACTTTTGAACAATACATAATCTATATTCAGATTAACATTCATTTTCATTTTTAATTCTTTTTAGCCTATGAAACCACCCCCAGCTACAAAAAAAGATATTGCCCGACAGAAAGCTGCAGCTGGCTCTAAAAGTATAACAAGTTTTTTCAAAAAAAAGTGAGGATGGAAACAGAAGAAATGAATGACAGCACACTGTTTTAGAAGAAAAAATTTTTTCATTTTTGCTACTTGAAGTCTATGTTTCTACTAATGTTGTTATACAAAATTCATCCTAGGCAAACATTTTTAGAAATTTCACACTTCAAGATCAATTTTTGAAACAACAATAGACAATTTTTATGAAATACTGTTGTCATTTTGAAGTAAATGAAATGTAGAAATTTCGTATTTTCATATGCAATACATTAATTTTTGTTATTCTTAAATGTTTATATCTTTATGTAAGCACTGTATACAAACACATAACAATGAGTTTGTTTTTCAGTTGTAATTTTTTTTGACAAACACTAATAGGATAAGCTAATGTTTAATTGTTAATTTTATACAAATTCTGTTAAACAGATTGTGATTTTTAAAGTGTGAAAATATTATTTCTATGTACATAGTTTCCAGTTCTTATAAAATTGGTTGTTTTGAGTTAACTTTAGAACTCGTCAATACTAAATCATATCTTTATTGATGGAAGTCAAGAACGCATTTAAATTATAAGATACATAGTATTTGATAAGCTTAATGTAGATACTTATTTCAGGAATTTATAAGTGTATTATTTATATCACTACTTTATAAGTGCAAGTTAACATGTATGTTATGAGATTATAAAACTTAAACAAGCATTTAATCTTTATACAATAGCTATATATACATTCTATAAGTTTTTAGAACTTCTCAATAAAATAAATTTTAATCGATAGAATCAAATGTTTTTTATTTTTATCAAATCAATTTCAGATAATGAATTAAATATATTATTTATTAATACTTCAATGAAAATAATAATTAACTTAAAAAATTTCACATCAATATCATACACACGAAGTTAAGTGCCACCTGATGGTAGTTACGAAAATGAATGCCAAAACGCGCGGGAAAGACGGTAAACTACTGTTTGTATACACCACGAAAACAAAAAAAGCTATAGTTTGCGGCTCGGGTTTAACTGTTTATAACGTCTTATCAATACTTGTTTTTTTACTGAGCGGGTTTTTAGCAGTTTACTCTTTGCTGACATTATTTGTTTGATTATTTGAGTGAAAAAATCATGCCTCCTAAGGTAGCGAGAGATTATAGTAAAGACAAAGGTAGTAAAATTAGTTTTCAATTCAAATTAACCTTATATTATAACTAGATTAGATTTATTTCGATATGCAAAATATACTTACTTTTCAATTCTTAATTTTCAGAAACTTTTAAAACGTTTCTTCAAGAATACGCGAAAATCGATGATAAAGAAGGCAATAAAGTTTTCCCGTATCGTCAACAACTTACAAACATTGCTCACCGAGAACAAGTTTCATTGATTATAGATTTGGATGATTTGAAAGAAGTTGACGAAGAACTTGCTGAATATGTTAGAACTAATACCAGACGATATGTTAATTTACTTCTTGAAGTAAGTTTTTATATATTTTAATACATATTTAAGCTTAATTGTGCATTGTGTGACTTTTCAAATTTATAGCTTCATAATAAGTAAAGGTTGATTCTAATCCATTTTTCATTATACTTAGATTATACTTTATAAGTTTAAAAACTTTTTCTTGTTCTTGTTTAGCTTGTTCAAGAAATTTTACCTGACTTCAAAGAACATCCAGTGCAACCAAAGGATGCTTTAGATATTTATATAGAGCATCGTTTAATGATGCAAGCACGTGCTCAAAATGAAGGAGAGCAAAGAAATCCTCAAAACCAATATGCTCCTGAACTTATGAGAAGATTGTATGTAAAATATGAATTTTTAATTATCTTGATGAAATGTATACTAAGATATTGTAACTTTTAGCGAAGTCTACTTTAAAAATACGAATGATGCAAAGTCATTATCAGTTAGAGATATCAAAGCTCAGAATATCGGGCAACTTGTTACTGTCAGAGGTATTGTCACCAGATGCACCGAGGTTAAACCACTTTTGGTTGTTGCTACTTATACCTGCGATCAATGTGGTGCAGAAACCTACCAAACTGTTCCTGCCATGACCTACATGCCTTTGCAAACTTGTCCTAGTGACGATTGCCGCATTAATAAGTCTGGTGGTAGACTTTATCAACAAACTAAGGGTTCTAAATTTATCAAATTCCAAGAAATTAAGATTCAAGAACATGTGTGTATTATTTCTTTATTATTTTTCAATATCATACTCCATTAATCTTAAATTAAAATGACAATTTATCATTCAGAGTGACCAAGTACCCACAGGGCATATACCTAGATCATTAAGTGTCTATTGCAGAGGAGAGATGACAAGAAAATGCCAGCCTGGAGATCATATCGTTGTTACTGGAATATTCTTACCTATTGTCAGAACAGGATTTAGTGAAAGAGAAGCTGCTGGTCTTTTAAGTGATACATACTTGGATGCTCATGTAAGTTTAAATCTGAAAAAAGTTTAAACTATTAAAAATTGCTATACTTCGCACAGCTTTAAATAATTTAATTTATAAATTTTTAGCTCATTGACAATCTCAATTCTGTGGAAACGGATAACACCACTAATGAATTATCAGAAGAAGAATTAGACCAGCTGACTCGTGATGATTTTTACTCAAAATTAGCTACCTCAATTGCCCCTGAAATTTATGGTCATGAAGATATTAAAAAAGTTCTTTTATTACTTTTGGTTGGTGGTACAGAAAAAAAGAATGGTGACATTAAAATAAGAGGTGAGTGAATATCTGCGAAATTAATTCTTTTTTTTCAAAAACCTAAAAAATTACTTAATTCGTTGTTTTTTTAGGCAACATCAATGTTTGTTTGATGGGTGATCCTGGTGTAGCCAAATCGCAACTTCTCTCTTTCATTTGCCGTTTGGCTCCTCGATCTCAATACACTACCGGTCGGGGTTCATCAGGTGTAGGTTTGACTGCTGCTGTACTCAAAGATCCACTTACAGATCAAATGACCCTTGAAGGTGGTGCCTTGGTATTAGCCGACCAAGGTATTTGTTGTATCGACGAGTTCGATAAAATGGCCGAGGCTGATCGTACGGCTATTCACGAAGTTATGGAGCAACAGACAATTTCTATAGCCAAAGCTGGTATCATGGCTAGATTAAATGCAAGAGTATCTATTTTGGCAGCTGCCAATCCTGCTTACGGTCGATACAATCCAAATCGTTCTATCGAAGCAAATATTCAACTTCCTGCGGCTCTACTCTCGAGATTTGATGTCATGTGGTTAATTTTAGATAAAGCTGACCATGATAACGATATGAGGTACATTTTTTAGATGCTTAAAAATGCGTTACAATAATTTAAAATGCTAATAATTTGCATTTAATTTCAGATTAGCTCAACATATTACCCACGTTCATAAATACGGAAGACAACCAGAAGCTGAAATTGAAGCTATGGACATGGATCTTATGAGAAAATACATAGCTGTGTGTAAGAGGAAGAATCCTTATATTCCTGAACATCTGACGGATTATATTGTTGGTCAGTTTCTTGATGTTTAAGAAATTTTTTAATGATGATCAATTTAAACATCAAGTAATTTCGCTTTTTACAGGGTGTTATGTGGAAATGCGAAAAGAAGCTAACGATCCCAATTACAATGCGCACAAAGAGGACAATGCATACGGTCGTGATAAGACTTTCACATCTCCTCGTAATTTACTTGCAGTCATGCGTCTCGCAACAGCTCTCGCTCGTTTACGTCTATCTAACGAAGTTAACAAAGATGATATACGTGAGGCAAATCGTTTACTCGCTAAGTCAAAAAGTTCTATCAACGATGCCAGGAAATCGACCAACATGACTAATAATGCACTTCAAAACCAAGTTAGGAATAAGATTTATTCCATCATCAGGGAGCTCGTTGGCGATGGTAAAACTGTAAAATATTCTGATGTAATGGAACGCTGCACCGGTAAAGGTTTCACACCGGAACAAATCAACATTACTATTGACGAATACGAAGGTCTCAACGTTTGGCAAGTTGATATGCACAGGACGAAACTTACTTTGCTATAAGAAAAATTAAATTTTTCCATTATAAAAGTCATTATTAAGTTTTATATAGCAGGATCGAATCTTCAAGTTTGAAAAATTGTGTATACTGCATGTATTAATAATAAAATTTACACTTCTTATAAAAAAAGACATGTTTTGTCAATTCTTAATCTGTTTTTATACCCTCTGTTTTTGGGGAAAAATAGATTGAAAATATAGCATTTATAAACGTCAATATTGAATTAGTTTGATTGATGTAATATTAAAAGCAACAACTTGTTTTGTGGCCTTTGATTTTATTGGGTTTTACCATCAATTATTCAACCCTGCACAATTAGTTTTCAATCAATTTAATGGCTCAAATTTTAGCGAAACTCAGATAGAATCATCGCAATAGTTGTATACATTTTTTATTGTTTTTATCAAAAAAAAATTAAGAAACCTGAAAAAACTAGCTTTCTAATCATTAAATTTGATTATCAAATGCAAAAAGAAGTCATCCATGACGATTTGTCATAATTAGAATGTGATTATACTATAACTATGGCCTAAGATATTATAAATTAATATTTGAACATCTGTATCTCACGATTTAAAAGATAAGAGGCGGAATTTTTTAATCTAATGTGTATATTACCTTTAAATTGAAACACAAATGAAGTTTCAGTTTAGTCTTTTGCTACTGTGTAATTGAATCAGTTCATTTTTCAACTCTTCACAATGGCAACACTAGCAAAATTAGTTTTGTTTGCCTTCTGCATTACTCTAGGTAAGTTTTTTGTTTTTTGCATTTTCCACATGTGTTTAACATTAATAAATAATTGCCAATTAAAAATCGATTAAAAATAGAAGTATGGTATTATTTCGTGTGTCATTCGCTGCGTACTTGAACTGTTTGTTCCTATTATTCAAGTCACTGTATGTTTGTAACTTCTATTGAGAAGAATTTTCTGAACGGATTAAATTTGATATGAATTTTCATGAATTATTGGTATTCGAACACGAGCATTTTTATCCTTTTCCGTTGAAAGTCAGTTTGCATCTTTATTTGCTGTTGCGACAAGTTGACGTTTTTCAGTATCATTTCGCGTGAATTGTCACAATTGTTAAAATTATTGACTCGATAAAAATAATCCTTGAAATAACAAGAAAAAAAATTAAATCAGCCTCCAGTCAAGAAGAAAATCAGCACGAAAAATTGCGCTTGACTCAAAGCAAGCTGCGAAGTGGCATAGGTACCGAATTTCCCATGCAAGTATCGGTACAGGCGAACGGCCAACACAAGTGCGCTGGTACCCTCATAACCATACGGCATGTCTTGACCTCGGCTTATTGCGTCTATTCGCAATTCAGCAGCCCAACTCCAATACTCGAAGTGCGCACCGCACTCATGCATGCCCAATATGCCCAACTCATCAAAATCAAAAGGGTTGTGCGACACAGCGCCTATCAATACACCCAAGGAAGGACACTGGGTCGCAATGACATTGCTATTATCACGGTGAGTTTTTTCAATCGACATCTTCGATGGGATGAGTAGATTGTCATTATAGGTTTTGTTTCAACATGCTGTTTTGGCGGTGAAGCGGAACAATTAACGTGAAATCCCCACTAGTGCTTTGATTATTATCCGCACGTGGGGCACATTAAACCAATTTACAAATATTTGACTTGTCTTTTGTAACCATATATTAGTCTTATATTGAATCAATATTCATTTTTACTAAATTTTTGCATGAATATTGAAATATTTTCACTATTTTTCTGACGATTGAATGACGATTGTTTTCCACAGTTGGCTGATAAAGTAAAAATGAGCGCCCATGTGAAGATCGCTGCACTACCCTTGGATTATTTCGAAGAGTACCCAATGGGGAAAACGGTCCATCATTCTGGATTTAATCTTCTAGGCATGCCCATGCCCGTATCCAGCTCACTGGACCACATTTACAACTGTGGGACGAAAATGCAATCGGTCATGCATCCAGCACATATTTGCACCAACGAAAATTTAATAAGAAATTATCCAGGCGTACGTAAATTAATCATGCTTAAATGGTTGCATCATCTAATTTTTTTTATCTCGCAGGGGGATAGTGGATCTGGATTGTTTGACGAAAACAAATTGACAGTAATCGGTGTCATGAGTGGTGAACCAGCCTTAGAAAGGACTGGCACACCAATGATTTACACCAAGGTATCATATTATTTGGATTTCATTTATCCGGAAATAGACTTGTTTTCGAACAATAAGTACGTGCGAAGTCGACATCCAGCAGTTGATTTTCAGTGACTCAAATAGATATTGTATTAGGACTTTTAAAATGGATATTAGTTTAATTGCGACATTAGGGAAAATTTAATGTGTAAATATATTTTTTATTAAATTGTTGATTTTTTTTCTGCGTATGCCTTCTATCAAATATTTTTAAATAATTTTGAATAATTTACAAGTTTATTACGATTAATCTCAAACAAGCTAGTGTACAAGTTTGGAATGAAAAGCGTCAGAAAAATGAACGATGACATCTTTGTTATATTTACAAACAACACATTTAAATACTAATGTTAAAATGGAAATTTTAATCGTTTCATTAGTCGAGATCAGTTAATTGCAATGACGTTTTCAAAATACTACATGTCTTACCAAAACATAACTTTCGTAAAGGTTGCTCGTTAATTCATTTCATGTTCAAGCAATGAAACAAAGTAATTAAATTAGACGTTTAAATTTATTTTAATAGATAATATTTCTGTATTGGCGAGCAACACTGTGAGAATTTAATGACGAGACAGCGATGAAAAAAGTCCGGAAGTGCATTCATTCAATTTTGCTGGTCCAAATTGTTAATTCGCCGTCAAAAGTCAAAACAGGGTTCGGCTTATTTGGCCGCAACCGAGCATGATCTCATATCTAAAAAAGCCGTGTATTACTCTCAGCACTTTCTTAGAAACTTAATTTGTTGGCTATCTTGACTTATACATGATTCAGCCGGTAGTGGTGGCAGAGTGAAATAATGAATTTCAATGAAGCTAACCACATTGCTATAAGAGTAAAGTATCGCGCCAAATAGTTTTCAAATATAAATAAACATTGCAGGTTTTATCTTTTAGCTAAAACGACTATTACAGCTCTAACGAAGTTTAAATCTTAATTATCAGCTTAAGGCAAGTGAAAATTTGTGTCAAGTGGCTTAGAATAAGGATTGCGTTTACTCCCGGAAGATTTTAAGGGTCGCAAGTCACCTGATTCGAAAAACATCTCAAGTGGTCTGATTTCACGCGCGTGACTTGGATATAACCAGTTCCTATGATTGAGTGAACCGAATATCGCTTGGCAAATTTCGCTCACAAATTTAGCTTTGTTCTAAACGAAAAAAGAATGCTAAAGTCGATTCAAGCCTAAATGAGAAAGTTGCCAAGAAATACAGTAAAATTATGCCAAAAAGAAGCTGACCCCTCGTCGACCTTCCAGAATATCGATAATTCTTATTTTCATATAATAAATGTCGAGTAAATATTTAAATTGAATATTCGATGCCTTGTGCCAATCTGTACTATAAATAAGAAAAACTATGAATTTTCCAAGCTATTAATTGTTTAATGGCAGTTTTCAATTTTGTTGCGATGCTGTTGACGCTTACTCAGGTGAGCAACTAATCAACATTATCATAATATAATATTCATGATGAATTGCAATATACTACTTGAATAGCAATACAAAAATTAAAAAATGTATTCTAGCCTCACAATTATTTACCAAGTCAAGGTTTATTCAGCGAGCAGCCTCGTAGCTTCAAAAAGGTATTCCAAAAGCTGCAAGTGCACGAGCTGCGTAGCTTGGATGCTCTTTGAAAAAAATCCCAAACGAGTCGCGTTGACGAGGAGAGGGCAGGGTTCTCTCCTGGCGACATTTGTAAAATTCTCGAGGCTCTGTACGAAAGGAATGTAAGCTGTTGAGAATAAAAATCATGGGCACAACTCCTCTTGACTCCTGTAATTATTGTAACAGCTGCCTGCATTTTTGTCGAAAGCAGCTCATACGTACGCACACGATCAGTAGTTGTAAAATTAAAATGTCCGAAAAAAATTTCACTTGCGACGATCGTGAAGAAAAGCGTCCAAGCGATGCGCGTCGAAGATCTTGGACTGCGCAAACGAAAATACACGAGTGAAGCCGTTCATTAGAAATGATTCTATGAAGACGTCCTCGAAAATCTAACGTGTCTAAGTGGAGTGCCCATTGCGATCCTAACTGTTTGCTTTCATTGAAACGACGAGTTTTGTTTGCTTACTACCGGCATAACTGGCTGACAAAGAAAAGCCAACGAGGAGCTAAACCACTTTCATCTCTCAGCATAACGCACGTACTCGTCGATTGATTACAGAATTGGCTAAAAAATCAAGGGAACAATCAAAATCTCATAAAAACGTGAATTGATTATTTTTCGATGATCGAAACTCGCTTCTTTGCGCAAATCTTTCAAGCTCGGTGATTTATTGAATAGAATTTAATGTATTTTGTCGAAGATTCGTTGAGTAGCCGCAGAATCGGAAGATTAATATTTAAAAATTTACACGAGTTTTGCGTGTCACTTGGCACCAGTTGGAATTAATTTCTTTCTTCAAATTTTTATAATTAAAAAAAAAGACACGTCTCGAGCAGTTATAAAGCAATCGAAAAACTAGTTCCGTAAAGATGTCGAAACTGATTAATCAGAAGGCGTAAAAAGAGCGTGAAAATTTGAGGAATTTTGTGCAAAAGCATCAATTAGTTGGGTATCGTACACGAGTTTTTGACCTGCGACTCTTTGCGTGCTGTTGCGCGTATAACGTGTATAAAAATCGAACGACTCCTCGGTCCAATAATAGACAATTTGAAACGGAGTAGTATATAGAGGAGTAGTGTATAGAGGAGAAGTATATAACATTGCGAATAGAGTCGAATGAAAGAGAAGAAAAAAAGAAAATAATTTTGCTCTTGTGATATTATAAATAATCTCATTGCGCAAAATGTAATGGGCCAACGATTTTTCCTCGTGGCATTTGGCGCAGCACAGGTATTATATAGCGGTGCAGAGAGAGAGAGAGAGACACAGACGAAATATAACGAGTATCAGCATGATCAGGTATGCGAAATACGAAAAGCGTATAAAGCAAAACTCCCACCAATGAGCAACCCTAAGCTGCATATAATGTATATATCTATATACTAGCGGAGTTTGTGTATGTATACGGCGTATACACAGACACATCGGCGCGCTCGAATATATAGACCGGCCTGCTGTGTATATATAGATATAGAATTAGTTATTTACACATCAAGGGCTGTATGCGGTGTGGATACAGTCGAGGTGTGTTTGCAGCGTTGGGGCGCTGTAGTCGCCGAGGCTGCGTAGCGAAGCGAAGCAGCCGAGGCACTACAGCGTCCGCAACGCTGCAAACACGCTGAGACGTATCCACACCGCTAACAGCCATTGATGTGTTAACAATTTTTCTGCATAAGAGCTCGTTTTGAGAACTATATCATGCATAATTGTTATGTTCCATTTAATTTCTTTATAGCACTCTAAACTAAAAACTGTAACTTGGCCGCTAGTTTTCGGCTCTCGTCTACATACTGTATATGCGTATGTCTCGTGTAAAATACTGTACATGCAACTTGTGTGGATATGTTTTTTCTGAAAAACGAGAGGTTGCATAAAGCACTGGTTGTGCCAACTTGAATCTCATTACACTGATTTTCCTAGTGTCTTGATGAGTAGAGTCGGTATAACATCGGTCACGCTGCATTTCTTTCCATTATTCAGTTTCTACTGCTTCATTTTTACAGTCATCGTGTTTAGTGCGAACACAAACATGAATTAAAAATGACATTTCTATCTCGTGTAGATATGTTTGTATTCAAGAAAGAGAGGTTAAAGGCAGCGCGAGTTGGCCTGCCACTTTGACATGTAGCAGACAGCACAGGCTACACGCACGCGAGCTGAGCGAGTCGTCTCGGCTCGAGTCTGCGGGATCGCATACAGTCGAGGAGAGCAGCGCGCTACGTGGCGACAATTCACACTTCTCCTCGACTGTAATCAGGGCTCCTCGACTGTAATCAGGGCTCCTCGACCTGTATTCAATTGATTTCAGTACGAGGAGAAGTGTGAATTGTCGCCACATAGCGCGCTGCTCTCCTCGACTGTATACGAATGCCTTACTCACTGAGCACGCTCAGCGCGAAATCAGCCTCAAACGGGCTCGTATGCTGAAAAGGTATATTACATAGGTAGCTATAGTTATAGTATACGAAAGTGGCCGCGCGCATCCTTCCATCTCTCCGCGAGCCTCGAGCTCGGAGCAGCACATAGCACACGGCACACACAGCAGCAGCCAGACTCTGGCATTCGCCGGCCGCTGCTTGCTTATGCTGCTCCGCGGGCTTTCAGTAGCATCGGGCAACTCAGGCTCGACGCATGCATGTACCATACAGCGCGCGTACCATACCTATATGTGTTATAGTATCGTACATTTGCGCACTCGATACCGCGTCCGAATATAAATATAAGCAACGCACCTAACAAAACGTCTCGAAGCAAGCAACAACAACAACGAGCCAACGATCGAGTGCAGCTCGCGCGTAAAATAATATCGATGTGTTGACAAAACAACAGCGACAGTAACAAACATCAACGATTACAAGTGTGTCGTCGCGATTGTCTTCGGTCGTCGTCATCTCGCATTGACGTCGTCGTCGTGAAAGAGAAAAAGAGAGGGATGAACTGCAAGTACGACTGTTGTATCAGCAGACAGTCTGGCGGCTGATCGAGTAATCGTTTGTTTATTCTAACGATCTGCGTGTGCTGCTGCTGCGCTGCTCTAAAAAAATATATAAAAATATATGTACGCGTGCACGAGTAGCGAAGAAGCTTGGAAATAAAAACTAAACACTGGCGAAAATTGCAAAAGTCGCTGCTCTCTTGCGTACGCGCGCCTCGAGTATAATCGGAGCAACGCGTAAATTGCAGTGTGTCGATCGTGAAGCAGCGTGATCGAATCGGACGCTCGCCCGACTACTTTTTTCTCTCTTCTTCGTTTCATTTTCTTATATACACACAACACTATCTCACTACACCAGACACTTACACAAAAGTACACGAATAACACACTTGGTGAAAAAAAGTGCAGAGGTGCATTGCTTTTCCAAGCCAAAGGTGCGCATATATACCTTTCTTTTCTTTCAACCCACACAAACACACAAACACACCCACACCCACACACATGAATTTATGTAGGATAAACAGATCCATGCATAGTCTGGGCAAAGTAGAGTCCGTGAATCGACGAGTGTTGCGGTGCGTGCTGTGCTGGTGATCGTGTTTACGTCAAATTGTGCGTCGCGGGCAAGAAGGCCAGGGCCGCATCGAGCCGCATAGTGCCAAGTCGAAATCGTCACACAGACTATTCGCGGGAAAATGACGTCGCCTGCGAGACTCGTCGCGCTTCTGCTGCTGCTGCTGCTGTCGGTGCTGCTCGTGTCGGAGCCGGTGCTCGGCCGGCCTCAGCACAATTACGACGCGGCTGCCAACGGCCACGAGGAGGACGCCCAGTGCCTAGTGCTGCGACGTTTCTTCGACAATTACGATGGCAGGGCCGAGAATCGATCCTCCAGCATACCTCGTGTTCCGCCAGCTCCGTCCTCCCATCAAAACAGTAAGTTTCTGGCACGACCCTATCTACTTATTGCAACAAACGACGAATTATTGCACGAGTAGCTACTCTCTGGTGTGCGCTAAAACGCTGCTCGCACGTGTGCACCGTCGTGTAGGTATAACGCTTTAAACGAGCATTTAGCGCTTGTCTCAAGAGCTGCACATTTTCATTCTGTTCCACTTACGGCATTTCTTTTTACGACGCGCACGACCGACAGAGAGGAAGATTACTTCTAATCGGTCATCGTTTCTCGTCATTATACGCGCTGCGGTAGCCGCCTATATATTGTATGGCAGAGAGGGAAAAATTAGCTTAACGCGCAGCGATGTTTGCTCGGAAGTGATATATAGGTATTATGCATCAGCGCGTGCAGCATAGCATAGCAGCAGCAGCAGCAGCAGCAGCGCATTGCATGCGACGTAAATGCATGTACACAGTACGTGTTAATGACATTACGATCTCGCGGAGCGTTTCGCACTTATAAACATTGATTTCTGCATTATGCGCGTCTCTTATCTTATCTGCTTACTCCACTTCTTGGACTCTTTTTTTTCCGCTTCTGCTTTTTTTGCGCATCCTATGCGCGAAAATCAGCGCAATTCAATGTGTAATGTAAAAGCGATCGATCTCGAGACTCGATGGGTCCGCACGCGTCTACAGATTAATCGTTTTTCGATTGATTTTCCCGTCCCCTCGAGTTACTTGGAAAAAGCATGGCTGTGTGTGCAGCAGCGACTCGTCTTTGTTTAATCTTCCGAAAAGAGCAAAAACGCTCCTATTACCAGACAATAATTATATACCTTTATCAAGCGCGTAAAGAGAACGAGAGATATCTCTCTTTCTCTCTCTTTTTCTGTGGTCAGGTATAAGATACCTATGTAAGATTTTTTTTGTCCTCGGCATTGTGTCGTATCTTGCAGCCCCGTAAGATTCCTGACTCTCTCTCTCTCTCTCTCTCTCTCTTGTTTGGGAAGGATTGCATGTACTGCGTCAGCTGTTTTTATGGACATCCCTGCGCCCTCTCTTACTCTCTCGTTCTCTCTCTCTCTCTCTCTCTCTCTCTTACTCTCTTCGGCGAAACGCCGCGAGAGAAATATGCGAGCTGCTTTAGCTATAAGGTCCGCGCTCTGATGCTGCTGATGCTGCTGCTGGGTGTACATTAGAGCCGCGAGATGCTTTTAAAAATACGCGCTTTTTAAATGCCAGCAAGCTTATTGCCGCGATATCTCGTGCGACTACCGTGTGCACCGAATGTTTCGAGTTCTCCTCGTCGCGCTCGCGTGGGAATTCGCTAAAATGTATCGAGTCACGTGCTTACTGATCGATTCAAGTCGGCGCAATATTAAAAATCAATAATCCCTCCGCAGTCAGTATATAAATTATTTACAGCATCGAGCACAACGTCCACACAATTTCAGCCTCTCGAAAGCTTTTTCGTGTAAGCTTTTTAAGTATTACACGGGCTTTTGCTCAATCAATCAGCTTTGTGATGCGCGCGAAAATAATTTCGGGTTGTGCTTCACTTTTTTATTTATATTATTTTTTTTTTTTTTTAACATGATAGACACTATTTTAAAAGGATATTTTGTTGTTGTTGTCGTTGTAATGTGCGCGCTTTGAACGATGAGTAAACTCGTTTTTATGTCACGAAAACTTATTATGTGACGCTGGCATTGCAAAGCAGTTTCATTTATTTGCATCCAACGCATTCTGCAAGTAAATGCTTTATTTAAAATGAAAAATAATGCAGGGTGCAGGTGAAAAAGCACATCAGAAAGCGCCTATATATCATTCTTATCATGAGCTGCACATTCTGACCCTCTAATTTTCTATCAAAACTGCTGGTGACCGCAAATTTTTTACATTCGCATTACTCTTTTTTGCCCGAGTGTTGCGCGCGCGATAAATGGCCAACAAGCTGATTCAGGGATAGAGATTTCATTAAGAGCACGACTAATGATTGACTACTGGTTTTTAACACAACTTGACTCGTGTCGCGTGCATATCTTAACATACTCGCGCTGGTTTCGTGCGACGCGAGAGAGCGAGAGAGAGAGAGAGAGAAAGAGGAAATTTCGATAAAACAGTCATAAAAAACACACATCAGGTGACGACGAACACATCAGGTTTGACCACTTAATGCGAGAGATCTAATCGGCGAAACGATCGAAATAGCCACTGATTATATCGGGATTGTTGTAATTTCATTAGGCACAAGAGCTCATGTAACTCGATAGCATCTGTCGCGTGCATAGTTATTATATTCTCTTCGTATAGGTAAAATAAAATTGTATACAAGAGCACACGCGTATAAGTGCAGTCTATACAGAGCCGAGTCATTTTCAGCGAGTGTCAGATCGTATACACTGCGCGTATAGCCAAGCAAAGATGATTGATGAATTGATATACCCCCGGACGTAGTATAATGACGAACGTGCGTAACCGACTTTATTATTACCTTTTATAAATTAAAATCCCCGTAGAAACAATGAAAATTTGTCGCCTCACGACAAATGAATTGCGATTGTTCTTTTTTCAGGCTAAAAAACGTCTACGATCGATAACAAAAAAAGTCTACGCTCGCGGAAAGATGAATGTACAAAAGTTGAAATAAAGTAATCTTATCTCCGAGAGGAGAGAAAAATATTTGCAAAAAAAATTGTTTCGCGAAAGTGTAAGGCTCTGCATGCCAGCACATACCATAGATATTGCGTGAGGCTCGAGCGCTTAATATCCGCGCGCGCCAACGTTTAGAACACGAGCCGGGGCTCGGATTAATTTTGACAAGTAAAAGGTTTCAAAGAGCGAAACAGTACATCACGCTAGCCACTTCATTTTTCACTTTACATCTGGTTCGAGCTCGCTCGCGCCTCATTCCAAAGGTCCTGAGAGTAGATATAGAGGCGCTTGGCACGCGCGTTTCCTTGCGCCGAAGGGATATGCACACCTAAAAACAAGTTTTCCCCTCCCCACTGATCCTCCGAAGAGGCGCGGATTAAAATTTCGATCTTTTTCCCCCGAGAGCCAAACGTCGTCTTTTATTTCGCATTAGTAACGAGAGTGATCCGACGTAAGAACGGCTGAAAATTGCCAAACGATTGCGACGCGACGACTTGCGTCATTCGTATCTATATGACGCGTCGTCTGCCGGTGTTCGCTCGAGCTACATACACACGCGTTACATACTATAAAAGCAAAGTGTAGCAAGCCCAAATGGCAACGCGCAAAAAGGGAGCTGCTCTGCTCTTCCGGCGATCGTCGCATTTCTGTACCCTTGCCCGATTTTCTCTATACATGTGCTCGCACGCGTGTGTACTACAAGTGCCACTTTGCTCCGCTATGATATTTTTATGCGCGCGTCATCATTTGCGGAAAAACGAGCGAGTACAATATCAGCCAAGTCGCCCGATGTGTGTCATTATAAAGCGATAACTACTGTTCTTTTATGAAAAAAATGCCAGTGGAAATAATGCACTTGCACGATGAAAGAAATTGAGCCCTGGTAATCATAAACAAATACGTTTGTGCGCTCATTGTTCTTGATATTTAATCGCTATAATTTTCAGACTAATTAGTTAAAATCAGCAGACTGACAAATACATATATCGCAGGAAATGATGCTCTGGCTTGACCTGCACGCAATTACATTAAAATCACATACCTGAAGCACACGCATTTCATTGAGGCTATCCGTAGAAAACAAATTGAAACTTTTCGCTCCGACGAAACTAATTAACGGCTCTTACGACGATGTATATTTACACTATGACAAGCCACTCGTTTTTTTTGCATCCAAGTCGAAGAGATGTAAAAAGCCGAGTTAGCGACGACGTAAAGTTCATTTATAAAATCGAGCCGCTTTGAAGCTGCGACCAAGTATCAATTATATTTTTTGACTCGAGCCCGAGCGAAAAGTAAACTTCTTAAAAGTTTGTTAATTGTTGCTTAAAGCACGCGCGCAGAAGTAAAATTAAAAGCTCTCGAGCGCGCAAGAAAAATGTAAATAGGCCTGGGTGAGAAACAAGCGCTTATGACTAATCAATCTTGTCAAGCGGCCAGCAGCAGCAGCAGCTCTTTTCACTTGTTTTTCACACAAAACTAGACGAGAAGAGAACTCGCGTCCGTTATTTTTTTTCCTCGCGCAATGTGGAAAAATTACGAGTAGTTTAAGTTGGTTTTTTTTCCTTTCTTCGGGCAAGCGCAGTTAAAAGCAAATCCTTTAGAGCACTTGGTAATGTAACTAAATTCGAGTTTCCGATAGGCTTAATCTTCGGCTCGTAATTGTTAAATCATGAAAAGAGAAAAGATCGTTTGAAGTACTTTTGCGAGTAGCACTTCCGGGTTCCGATGTCGTTTCGCCTCTCTCCTCCATACAGATATATGCACTGGCTCTCATTAATGATAAATCAGTCACTTAGTGCAAACACGCTGTATCTGCCAGAGTACCGCGTAACGGCAGCAGCAAAAGAAAAACGAGTAGCAAGCAAAGTGTCGCTTGTACGTGTACTAATATATATATATCTGTGTGTATATGCGGGCGTTAACGCGTCGGCATGTAGCAGATATTCGCGAGGTGGCACTTTCAGAGGGGGTGCGAGAAACTTTTGAATGGGGGACAGTAGACGATGCTTCGAGGCGCTCCAACCTTCCGGCCCTGTAATAAATTACCCGAAAACATTGTCGGGCGATGTAACGTGTATGCATACGCGCTTCGGTTATAAATATTTTTTTGCTCGCTCGAGAGGCCAGCAACTTTTTTTTCCTCCTTGCCTATTTTAAAACGGATATTCGAGTGCAAAGCGAAGAGGGTCCGGTAAATAAAACGGAGAAACTTACGAGCTGGGTAACAGGTGTAACAGAGCTAGGAAAGAATTGCGCACGGACGAAGCAAGGGAGGGGGAGCTGAGAGGAGTAGAAAAATCGTATTTCTTACTTTACGAGTTAATTTAACAAAGTAAATCAGACGAAATCAGAAGCTGAAAGTCTTTTGTCATCGCTGG